GTCAAGAAGGACGAGGCGGGGGGGGGGCGCTTTCTTTGCGTCGTGGGACTCCCTGATGGCCTTCACCAATGCGCCGCCCCAGTGCGGGCGGGGCCTTTACCCCGCGCTCGTTGTTCGGGCGCGCGTGGATGTCCGCGTGCAATATCACTTCGCCACCAGGGACACCATAGAGCTGATCACCAAGCAGGCGCTTCGAGATCGCCGCGGCATCGCTGAGGGGGCCGTCGCAAAGGAGCAGGAGGACTTCATGTACATCGGCTTCTTCGGTATCTTGACCAACGGCCAGCTGTCGCTCGACGAGGCCGGGGGCCGCTTGCGCGAGGCGGCCCGTCTTGTGCTGGACAAGGCGGAGACCGAGCCCGGCTCCATCGAGCCACCGGTCACGGACCAGGTCCGCACGTTGAAGGTCAGGGTGCCCGCTGAAAGTGGCCCATCCCATCTCTTATCGGCGGGTTGGTGTAGGAGCTGATTGGGGGCTAGGATGGGTGGATAGGCATCCTGGATGGGCCTGGGCCTGGATGGGTGGATTGGCGCATGACCGCCGCATGAGCTCGAGGGGGGGGCAGTCGGATGAGCTTGGAGGGGGCGCAGGAGGCTGAGGTGGATGCAGGAGCGGGTGCACGAGGCCGAGGCGGGTGGGCGCAGGAGGCCGAGGTGGAGGTCGGCTGCGGGAGGGAGGGGGGGAGGGGGACATGGTCGGTGGATGAGGCCGGCGCCCCCCAGGTCGTCGCTGATCGGTCTGGCTGTCGCCTCGCGCTCAAGGCGGCGCTCACGGTGGCGGAATCTACGGCTACTACGTCGGGGCGGCTCAGCGGCTTGCTCGGCCGCGGCGAGCTCCATGGAGAGCCGCTCCTAAGACAGGCCAAGGTCGCCTCGGGGAAGCTCGACGCGGCGGCCTCGGCAGTGGAGAGATTGAAAGCGGCGGCCGCAGATCTCGCAAGGTTCGGTAGCACGTGCCATGACTCCTCCAAATGGGGGCACATCACGTCTGCAATGAACGGCCTGGTCGCGCACTTCTTCCAGCTGGACAAGGAGGCCCGTACATCTGCAAGCAATTCCGCGGAGATCAACTTCCCCCAGCTCGCATCCGAGTGCCTGATCAAGCTCTCTTCGTCCATGGTCGCCTCCTGGGTCAACGCCTTAGGCGCGCGCAAGGCTCGCGAGTGGGCCGACATGGCCGCGCCGTTCGCCGAGTCCGACTACAAGAGCTTGCGCAAGTTAGGGGAAAAGCTGAACGCGCCGCAGCCTTTCTACGAGACGGCTGACTTTTACACGGAGTGGGCGGCCAATGTGAGGTTGTTCCCCCCAGATGTTCGCAGATGAGGACCACGCGGAGTCGCAGGCTCGCTCGAGTTCCGAGCAGACCGCCACGGTCTTGCGTATCAGCGACAAGGACCTCGGACCTTGTCCTCCCGCATGCCGCGTGCCGCGTGCCGCATGCCGCGCCGCGTGCCTGCCTTCCCGGCCCTGCTGCTCTGCTGCACTTCCGCCTCCTGCTGCTGGTGGTGCCCCCCCCCCATCCCGTGACCTCCTCGTCTTCCTCCGCCACCTCGCTCCTCGGGGCCCGTCGTCGGCCTCCCCATCCCAACCGTCCCCCGCATCTCTGTCGCCGCTATGCAACCCCGCCGGCCCCCAGGAGAGGTTCCAGTCTCTGTTCATGCGCGGGTCGGTGATCGCCGTTTCCAGCGAGATCGCCAATGACTTCCAGAAGGAGCTCGCGACCGTCCAGACCTCTGTCGGCAAGCTAGCCGCCAGGGCGAACTCTGGCGCGCTGACAGAGATCGGGGATAAGGCCCCTGCCCCCTCCCACGTCCTTCCCGCCTTTTCCTAGGGCCTGGGTGTTCCATGGGCACCTTGGGCATTCCGCCCCCCGACCCCTCGTCGCTCCCCGAGCGGCGAGGGTAGGGAAGGCATACCGACGGCCTCGACGGATTGCCCGGTGGCCCAGGAACGTCCGGAATCCGCGTTGCCTGCCCGCAGGTGCGGGTCGTCATCGAGATGATGGAGCTCTCAGACATGTCCTTGGAATCCCTCGACACCATCAGGCAGGGCCTCGTTCGGCTGCACGGGTCTTTCACTGGTGGCGAAGGCAAGGCTTCCGTTCCCAAAGTGGCCAACTACGCCGATGGAGCTGCCCGTCTGATCAGGACCAAGTACGCGCTCGCCGTGAGTTCGAAGGCCACGTGGGACTTCAAGTTGGCAGGTGGCTCGACAACTGCGGGGGGGTGCCTCCGTACCCTGTCGAAGGAGTGCCAGGGGCTCACTCACTGGCTCGATAGCCAGCCGGACCTGGACTTCGGCGAGGCCGTGGCAGGGTTCGAGGGCATCGACTTGCGCGGCACCTGCAAGACCACGCAGGAGCTGGCCGTTCAGTTTTGCATGATAGGCTGGGAGGCAGGCTCGTCAGCGGCGAGATTGCATCTCAAAGAGGTCGATGCCGCCTGCGCGGCAGAGACCATCATCGAGAACGGCTTGATCCTCGACCCGTCGGAGTCCAAGCTTCGCGACACGATCGCGGGCAACCCCAAGAGCGCCTCCATCGCGCCGCTCGCCGCCAACATAAAGGAGGCCCGCCAGGTTCTCGGGAGGGCCCACAAGGTGAACCCCGCGTTCTCATGGGTGGAGTTGGACGGCGGGTTTGGAACTCGCTTCGCGCTTCGCCTCGCTCTTGGATCACTCGTGTGCCAGCGGTGTAGGGCCGGGGGGTCTGGGGGTGTGTCTGGAAACGAGCGGTGGGGGGCAGGGTGCGTCAGCGCCCCCCCCCCCCCTCCCCCCCCCCCATCCGAGCAGGACTCTGATCTGAGGGCGGCCTCAGTGCGATGCCGGCAGAACCTCGGCGTGGAGCATTGCCTCAAGAAGATATTCACTGAGGCCCCCACCATGAAGCCTGAGGTACTCGCGGCATTCCACAAGCGCACGATGGGTGAGCTCAGGCACCACGGGTGCACGATACCAGCCGTCCTGGAGAAGGCCATGAAGCAGCTCAGCGGGGCGGCGCAGACGCATTTGAATTCTCAGTCGCAGGGTGGAGTGGGCACTCCGTCCACGGCGCCGAAGAAGGGGGCGGCGCCGGGCAAGGCGGACGCCGCGGCGTCCAGGGGCCTTATACTCGCCCTCTTACGTCTCCCCTCCCCTCCCTACTCTTGCTCCTCCTCCTCCACTCCTCCACCTCCAGTCCTCCTCTTCCTCCTCCGCCTCCTCGTGCCCCCCCCCCCCCCCCTCTTGGAGACCCCCCCCCTGTCTCCTTCCCCCTCGCCTCTCCCTTCTCGCCCACGTTCAGCGCCCAGGCGATCCCCGACTGGGTCGTCTCCGCCGACATATCCACGGTGGCCCGCGAGAACGAGGTGCAGGAAGAGGCGCCGCCCGCGGTGGAGCTGCCGCCCATGGCGCCCGAGTCTCAGGAGGCGCAGCCGTCCGTGGATGTGCCCGCGGAGAAGTCCAAGGGGGAGTCCATGGAGGAGTCCAAGAGGGAGTCCAAGGACGAGTCCAAGCAGGAGCCCAAGGACGAGTCCAAGGACGAGTCCAAGGAGTCCAAGGAGAAGTCCAAGGAGGAGTCCAAGGAGGAGTCCAAGGACGAGTCCAAGGACGAGTCCAAGGACGGGTCCAATGAGGAGCCCAAGGAGGAGTCCAAGGACGAGTCCAAGGACGAGTCCAAGAAGCAGCCGCCCGAGATGTCCAAGGGGGAGTCCAAGGAGTCCAAGGCGCAGCCGTCCGCGGAGGAGGAGTCCAAGGAGTCCAAGCAGCAGCCGTCCGAGGTGGAGCCTAAGGAGGGCCCCCCCGCGGAGGGGGGCCAGAAGAAGCCCGGGGGGGAGGCGTCCGTGCAGGCGACCCAGCAGGAGGCCACGGCGGCGCCCCAGCAGAATTCCGAGACGGCGTTCGAGGTGTCCAAGCTGACGCCCGGGGAGGCGTCCGAGTTGGCGTCTGGGGAGGCGTCCGAGGGCCAGCTGAACCTGTCCCTCGTCCTCCTGCTCGCCCTCCTCCTCGCCCTCCAACTCGCCCTTCGATTTTGTCCTGCCCCCCCCCCCCCCCCCCCCCCCCCCCCTCCCGCGCTGCCCCCCCCCATTCCGAAAATCCCCCTGTCCCCCCCCCTTTCCCGTTCCCCTCCCTCCCTCCCCCCCCCCCCCCCCCCCCCACCCCCCCCCGTCTCCACCTCCTCTCTCGCCCCCCCCCCCCGCGCAGGCGCCTTCCGAGCCAGAGCCGAAGCGCGCGCAGACGGTCAGCGCGTTCACGCGGCCCCAGCAGCCGCCGAACGAGGAAGAGGCCAAGAAGCGAAAGCTGGCCGACGACGAGGCCAAGAGAAAGGCCAAGGAGACAAAGAAGAAGGCCAAGCAAGGGGCCGCGAACTCCTCGGGCTCGCCGGCGGCCCCGCTGGCGCCGAAGTCGTAGCCGAGAGCCTGGCCTGGCATGCCGGCGGCGGGGCGGTGCTGGCGCAGGGCAAGTCTGCCGGCGCCGCCGACGGCCGCGGGCGCCGATTACGTGCGAGGGGAGTCGACTGGCTCGGCCCGTTGCCTAGCTTTTGAAATTTTGCAGGGCCAGCCGCAAGGGTGCTGCTGGCTCTTGGCATGGCGTCCGGGGGGGGGCCCTAGGTGGCGGCTCTTCCCGGCCGTCGCGTGACCTAATAACGAGGCTGGGTCGAGGCCGCGGAGCGCGGAGAAAATTGAATGACTTCGATGGGCCAGGTGAGGGGATCAGGACTTTAAGGGCCCCCACGAGGGCGCGAAGTTATTCGCGCTTCGCGGTCTTCATTCGCCCTCCTCTTCTCCCCTTTGGGGGGCGGCGCGAGAGCGCCGCGGGCGAGGATCTGGGGCGGGTCAGAGATTGAGATTGGAGTAGGGGGGCGAGGAGGAGCGCATGGGGGGCAGGAGGGCAGCGGAGGACGCGAGGATCGGGGAGGAGGATGGGGGGGGGTGACGAGGAGGACGACGTGGAGAAGGATACACAGGAAGAGGAGTAGGGGATGCAAACATAGTTTCTGGCGGCCCGAGCTTTGGGCAGTCGCCATGGGTTCAGGGTCGGCGCGGGCCATGGGGGCGCCAAAGGTGTCCGAGGCAGCGTCCGAGGACGTCCTTCCGTGGGAGGCGGCGGTGGCCGAGTTGCCCGGGCGGCGGCTCACGGCGGTAGTCGGCGCGTTGCGCCGCGCGCGCCGCCAGGAGATGCGGGGCCTGCACGGCCAGCGGCTGAAGGAGTTGAAGAAGTTGGAGGCCGCCGCCGACGTCACTACGGCGCTCAAGACGGGCCTCGCCTCGCGGAGAGCCTGGTGGGGCAGGGGGGGCCAGGTGTTGAAGAGCATCAAGGCACCTTCCATCCCCCTCTTTCCTTCTCTCCTTCTCCTCCTTCCCGTGCCCCCTTGCCCCCCCGCCCCGCGCCCCCCCCGGCGGGGGGTCGGGGGTCGGGGAAGACGTGGGCGAGGGGGGGCGCCTCAGGACCGCGGTGCCTGAGTGGTTGGGTGCCAGTTTTTGCAATTCGCAATTAAATGCCCGCCTGATTGGTGGGCGGCTGATGCGTCGGCCGCGCGGGCCGGGTGGAAAAATGCGCTACCCGCCCATCCGATCCAATCTGAGATGCAGCAGGGCACCCTTGCATTCTTGCTTCTTCGGCTTCGGCCTTCGGAGGGCCTTCGAAGGGCCTTGGGGCCCATGGTCTGCGGCTCATCCCTGACCAGTTTCGCGACGGCCCAGGACATCCAATTTGGGATATCCAAGGGCCTTGCATCCTTGCATTGCGCCCTGACTGCCGATTTCGCCGATTTCGATTATATTCAGGGGCTTGCGTCGTCCCGCGCACCCCTATATAAACTTATATCATTGGCTTGGCCGCCCCCGCTCGCCCCTGGCATACTTGCCATCTGAATCCCAGAATGTGTCAATCCGACACACAGGATAGTGGGATTGCGATTGAGTTCGATAGTTAGGCAGTCGATCTGTGGTGGTTCTCGCATTTCCGCATTCTGGACATGAATCATGAATTAAAGTATTTTACATTAATTTTTGTTTTCGGGACATGAATACACGTAATTTATGTAATTGCCGTTTTCCCGCATGTGAATAATAGTAATTTATGTAATTTCCGTTTTCCCGCAAGTGAATAAATGTAATGTATGTATCCTCTTTTTGGGATTTCGGTTCGTGGTCGGCCAGGTAGTGCGATTGGCCCCCATCAGCTTATGTGAGTTTCTTGGGGCCTTCACTGGGCCTGTCCCGGGCCTCCTTTTCCACCTCTTGGATATGCTCGGGGACTGTTGAGACCAAGCTGGGGCTGCGTCCGTCCAAAAGTTCGAGAGTAGACCCAGCTGTGTCGACGAGGAGCTTCCTGAAGGCCCAGAGGGGGCGGAGAGCGCCCAAAAACCAGGAGTCTCATGCCTCGAGCCTCGATCCACCCTGTGCTCCTTCCTTTGCGAAGGGGTGGCACCTGCCAGGGAGGTCGATCCTCATCCTGGATTTTCGGCGGTGGTCCCCGGCACCGAAAACGGTTCCTGGAGGCTGAATTAATATGTGAGACATCGGCGGCGACGAAGTTTTTTTTTCTGTTGCCGTTCCTCTTCCTCCTCCTGTTCCTCCTCCTCCTCGTCCTTCTCTTGTTTTTCTCGATCGAGGTAGATGCCCGCGGCAGCTCATATACATAGATGTGTATATGTATGTATGTATGTATGTATGTATGTATGTATGTATGTATGTATGTATGTATGTATGTATGTATGTATGTATGTAGAGTGGCCTTCGGTCCATCGCGCCACCGTGCCTTAATTGTCGGCCTGAAATATTTGGTGCCTTGGCTGCGGGTTAAAAGTTACATGCCTCAAGTGGTTTTGGTGGCTTCTCTTTGAGTTTGTTAGCGGCCTCCATGGGCCCTGTTTAGCGCCTCTTGGGCCTCCTGGGGCTGTTTTGGGGCGGAAGGCTCGGATTGTTGATTCAGGCTCCTCCTCTTGGGCCCGTCACTGGGCCGTCTTAGGGCACCCTTGGGCCGTCTTGGGAGCCTTTTGGGCCGTCTTGGCAACTTCTTGGGCCGTTTCGAGCGCCTCTTGGGAACCTGTCGGGCCGTTTTGGGGTAGTTTTGGGGGACTCCGGGGCCGTCTTCAACGCCGTGAAGGCCGAAAAGTCGTGCATGATAAAAATGCTGGTTTTGTTCCATCGGGATTCGACGATGTTGGCCTCTTGGGCCCCTCTTGGGCATGCTCCTGGAGGCTTCCTGGGCCGTCTGGGAGGCTTCTGGGGCTGTCTTGGGGCCATCCTGGGCGTCGGGGCCCTCTTGGACCGTTTTGGGGGCCTCCTGGGCGGCCCCAGATGCTGTCGTGGACCTCCAAAAGGAGCCTGGGAAGGGCCGGACCCCCCCGCTGGATCTCAGAGATTCTCGATTTATCCTCAACCGAATTTATCCTCGTCCTGGCTTCGTCTTGGGAGGGGTCCGCTCGCGTCACGATTCGCGCAGACGCCGTCTGAGCATGTTTAGGAGTGTTTTCCCTCGCGACGCCGGTTCGAATCGTGACGTGACCAGGGGGGGGGGAGGGGGGAGGGGGCCTTTCACGGGCGCTATCGAGAACATCGAGTAAGCGGCTCAAAAGGGACGCGCCGGGAGGGCGCGCTGGGATGGCCCCATCTCCTCCTCCTCCTCCTCCTCGACCTCCTCCTCCTCCTCCTCCCTCCTCCTCCTCCTCCTCTCCTCCTCCTCCTCTCTTTCTCCTCGTCCTTCTCCTCCTCCTCCTCTCCCTCCTCCTCCTCCTCCTCCTTCTCTTTCTCCTCCTCCTCCTCTCCTCCTCCTCCTCCTCCTCCTCCTCCTCCCTCCTCCTCCTCCTCCTCCTCCCCTCCTCCTCCTCCTCCTCCTCCTCCTCCTCCCTCCTCCTCCTCCTCCTCCTCCTCCTACTCGTTCCTCCTCGTCCTTTTCCTCCCCTCCTCCTCCTCCTCCTCCTCCTCCTCCTCCTCCTCCTCCTCCTCCTCCTACTCGTTCTCCTCGTCCTCCTCCTCATCCTCCTCCCTTTCCTTAGCCGGGAGGGCGCGCTAGGAGTGCGCGATGGGAGATCGCATTGGGGAGGCGGGCCCATTTCTCTCCTTGTGGCCCCTTTCGCTCTTGTCCGCAGCTGCGGGGTGCTATCGGCATCTGTCGTCAGGGTTGGACCTAAACGCTGTTTAGCTGGACTTCGGCTGTGTTTTGTTTTTCCTTGTGGCAGGGAGGTACAGGAAAATATGGGGAGCAAAACAAAAGCAAAACGAAAACTGAACGACAAACAACGTTTAGGTCCAGCACTGTCTGCCGTCATCCCCCCTCCCGGCGCGGCGCGGCGGAGGCTCGTGTGGCTGAGCATCCTGTGCCTTTGCCTGGCTCACACCCTGCTTCGCCCGGGGGGCGACAGCGAAGGCCCGGCCTTCTTGGCCAGGAAGGGGCCTCCGCTTGGGAGGAGGAGGAGGAGGAGGAGGAGGAGGAGGAGGAGGAGAGAGAGAGAGAGAGAAAGCTGATCCTCCTTCATTCGATGATCCTCAGGACGTGTATGAACCAAATGTTGGTGTGTGTCGGTCCGCTCATAGCCTGTGTCGGCCCTCATCACACCGCCTGCGTCATATTGAAGTGGTTCGGTGGACAAAAACACGTTGGCGCTAACACACGTTCTGAGGACCATCTGTTCATCCTCCTTGCTCCCACTCTTTCCTACTCCTCCTCCTCCTCCTCCTATTCCTCCACGTCCTCCTCCTCCTATTCCTCATCCTCCTTTTCCTCCTCCTCCCACCTTCTTTTCTTCTTGCATGGGAGAGGGGAGGACGGGGCCAGGAATGGGAGGCGGAGGAGGAGGAGGAGGAAGTGGGGGAGGGGGCGGAGGAGGCAGAAGAAGGAGTGGGAGGGGAAGGACATTGGCTCACAGACGGGCAGGGGGGAGGGCCATGGGAGCCTACCTTCTCGTCGTTGTCGTCGTGCCGCATCCTCCCCCATCCGCTTCTCATCCCCTGCTCCTTCCATCTCATCCTGTCTTCCCTCATGGGGCTCTGCATATCGTGCTCGGCTGGATCTTCTGGGACCGCACCGGGCCTCGTCATCTGCCCATTCGCGATGACGAGGACAAGAGCAAAGGAGAGGGCGACGAGGACGGAGAGGACGACGAAGAACTGGACGACGACGGGGAAGGACGAAGAGAAGGAGGAGGAGGAGGACGAGGTTGAGGAGGACGAAGAGGACAACGAGGACGAAGAGAACGAAGAGGACGAAAATGAGGAGGCCGAGGAGGAGGTTGAGGAACGAGACGACGAGACGAGGAGGCAGAGGAGGATGAGGATGAGAATCAGGAAGGGGGCAAGTGCCAGTTCGGCCAAAGGGAGGCCACGCGCGGGGCTGGGAGAAGGCGCTGGTCGCCTCCCCATTCCCACTCTGCTGGAGCCTCTGAGACGGATATCCGAGTACTTCGACCACCACGGCGTCCGCGTACCTCGAGCAGTGGCGAAGCGTCCTGCCTCGCCTATAGGCCTACCAAACAATGTTCTAAGAACCTTTTATGGTCTCCACGAAATGTTCTTAGAACATTTCTGGCTGGGACCGTCTTGTTTTAACACATCGGGCTTATGTTCTAAGAACATGGTATTTGTTCTTGGCACATTTGTGGGTTCTATGAACATGTCGTAGTAGGCCTATAGGAGTGCTGTGACGGTCGGTCCCTGCTCAAGTACCGTCGCTGTCAAATCGTTGGGCAACCTTTGTTTTGATCTGCCCGCTGACTTCCGTGCTGGTGCCACTGCTGGGCAGTCGAGCCCGCTGGAAATGCAGCTGTGTTGCATGTGTGCCGGTCCGTAGTCCCAAGACGCCGTGCTTGCTAGTTTGTTGTATCCTTGTTGCATGGTCACCCAATCTTCACACCGTCATACCCACTCGTTTGCATGTGTTGTTTGGCGTAGTGCGTAGCTTGTCGTACCAATTCGTGCTAGGGTTCGAGATCTCCAGAATTGGTGTCGTAGCTAGCTATCCGTGCTGGAGTCTTGCCACTCCATTCAGTCGACTTCCACTCGCCTCCTTCCACTCGCCTCGATTTGTCTTCGAGCCGTGGCCGTTAAATGCTCGACTGACGGGTTTGAACAATCCTACGATGCAGTCTTCTCTGAGTGCGTCGAATGTTTCTGTTCGAGGCTACTTGCCATAGTCACTGGTGAAGAACCGTATAGCAATGTCGGATTCACCGTGCCGCTGAACAGTTGCAGTTGGTCATGGAGATATTGCGATCTGATTTGAAGAGGATGAGGCGGAGGAGGCGTCGGGCCTTGTTGACCCTTTTGGCCGTGCCCGAGGGGCAGGGCTACACCCAACGACGTGGGCGCACCTCCGGTCAGGCACCGAAGCCCCCGGCTAGACACGTGTTCGCGCAGGCAGAGGTTTCACAACGAACACCCGACGAGCCTTTGCTGAAGGGCCGATGTTCCACCACCACTACCAGAGGTAGGAGAGGGAGGAGGAGGAGGAGGAGGAGGAGGAGGAGGAGGAGGACCAGTGTAAACCCAAGGGTTCATTTCCTCCGAGGGCCTTGCCCCGTTGGACGTAACTGTTACGCCCTGGCAATCCTGAACCGTGTCAAAACACCGTTTTTGGTACGCTGGCACTCAGAATCAGTGAAGCTCTTGAAAACTCTTAAAACGAATGCGCGCGGCGCTAAGGCTAGAGCCACATTGTAAAAAGGAGCCGCCCTCGATCTGTGAAGGTCTTGCAAATGTTTAAGATGAGTGTGGGCGGCGCTGGGGCGAGAGCCACATTCTGAGAACGGCGCACCCTCAATCCGTGAAGTTTTTGCACATATTTAAATCGAATGTGCGCGGCGCTGAACGATAGCCACATTGAGAAAACGGACCGCCCTCAATCCGTGAAGCCCGTAAAGTTTAAAAACGAATGTGCGCGGCGCTAAAGCGACAGTCACAATTTGGAAACGACCCGCTCTCAATCCGTGAAGCTCTTGAATCTTTCCCCAATTAGGCGTGCAAGAGCGGGACTTGCACGGTTACAGGTTGGTGCTTCGCATTTTTTCGTTACCCGTTGCCCGGGGGGTCCTCAGGTTCCTCGTGTTTCTCGCCCCCAGCGCCTCGTTTTGGTATTGTGCCCGTTCCCCGGAGGCTCTTCGGGTTCCCCGTGTTCTTCTGGTTCCCCGCCTTGGTTGTTGTTTTTTCCCAACAGTCCAGGTAACGCCAGGCAACGTCAAGCAACGCAAAGCAGTGCCACGCAGATCAAAGCAGTGCAAAGCAACGCCAACAAGCAACGCAAAGCAACGCCAAGTCATGCGAATCAATGCCAAGCATGTCCACGGAATGCCAAGCGATGCAAAGCAATGCCTAGCAACGCCAAGCAATGCAATGCAACACCAAACAATGCCAAGCAATGCAAAGTTATGCCACGCAACGCCAAGCAGCGTCAAGCAATGGCAAGCGATGCAAAGCAATGCCAACAGCGCCAAGCAATGCAAAGCAATGCCAAGCAATGGCAAGCAATGCCAAGCATTGTCAAGCAATGTCGAGCAACACCAAGCAATGCACATCAATGCGAAGCAACGCCAAGCATTGCAAAGCAAACCAATGCAATGCCAAGCAGGTCTAAGCAACGCCGCTGAGGAAGCGTTCCCCTAATTGGGGTCGCGCCGGGCTCATGTTAAGCGAACATGCGCGGCGCAAAGGCGAGAGCCACACTTTGAAAACCACCCGCCCTCCATCTGTCAAATGGTTGCTAGTTTTGAAGCTTCAGGCTCATAAGTGGAAAGGAAGACTCAGGCGAAACGCCCGACCCGCCCTTCCCACTGTTCTAGGGGTGCGAAACGGAGGAGTTATTCACAAGGAAAGGAATGGAGGAGGAGGAGGACGAGGAGAAGGCGGAGGAGTTGGAGTTGGAGGGGAAAGAGGAGAACGAGGAGGAGGAGGAGAAGGAGGAGAACGAGGAGGAGGAGGAGGGAGGACCTCCCCGTCCTCCCTTCTCCCCCGTCCCTTTGTGGTAGCCGTGGTGGAACATCGGCCCATCACCTGCGGTCTTCGGCCCAGGCCAGCCGCACCCGCACTCGAGACCCCTTCGGGCGCGAAAGTCGGCAGGTGGCTGGCAGCACCGCAGCGCCGCGCAGCGGCCACCGCAGCGCCGCGCCGCGCTCGCTCGTGGAGCAGGCGAGCTCAAAGTCGGCGTCGCCGATGGCAGAGTTTGGCGGCGAGTTGGGGGGAATTGAGAAGGGGTTGGCCTTCTCTGAAGGTTCGGAAGTTCTCGGTTCTCCGATGGCACATATGATTCCTCAGAAGGTTGGAGGGCTTCTGAGAAGCCCCGCTACCGTCTGAGAAGGCCTTCTCCTTCTCACTTCCCCCCTTCGCTCGCCGCAGACTAAATACCATGCGGCACTCGGCGAAGTGGTGCGCAACCGCACACGCGGAAGAACATTCTCGAGCAGGGACATGTTGTTCGCACGGCCTCGCAGCACATTGGCGCATGGAGCAGGCGAAGATCCCGTAGCAGTGGATGGATGCGAAGCATCAACGAACAGCAGCATGAGAGGGTTCGGGAGCACAATGAGCATTCGCAGGAACGGGAGAGGAGGAGGAGAAGGAGGAGGAGGAGGTAGGACAACGCAGAGAGGAAGGGACGGCGAAGGAGGACTGGGACATTGGAGGAGGGAGTGCCGGAGCAGTACTCACGAGGGGGAGGACGTGGAAATTCAGAAGGCGGATGAGACCTACGACGAGGAGGATGAGGAGGGGAGGAGGACGTTGACGACGAGGGGAGCGATAACGACCAGGATGTGTACGATGAGAAAGAAAACCAGGATGATTACGACGAACGAAGATGGTTAGAGCAAGGACACGAACAAGGACAACGGCAACGATGGCGAGAGTGAGTGTGAGGTCGATGGCGAGAAAACGTAGACGAGGACCACGAGGGGGAAGAGGAGATTAAACCAGGCTGCACCAACGATGCTGCAATACACTCCCGTCACAGGTCCCCGCCGCATAAGTCACTACACGTATAATTACCATTGCGGGAAGCGGCCCCATTTAATGTTGATAGCGTTGTAGTTTTGCCACCTGGGCCAGACCCCGTTTTGTAAAGGATCGCCATACAATGGATAGGATGATAAAGTTCAAGGAAGGTCCCAGCGATAGCCGCGTTTTGGAAAGGATCAGCCCTACGTTTGAAAGGAACTGGCTTCCATCTGTGATAGAGTCGGAAGCTTGTACAACTATGTCGCGCGGCTCTGAGACCAGAGTTGCGTTTTGCCAAGCACCGACCCTCTGTCGTTGTAATTGGCAAATGCCCGTGAACCAGACGTGGGCGGCGCCGAGGCGACAGCTGCACTTGGGAAACCGCTGGCTCTCCATCAACGGAACAGCTGGAAGTTTGTCAAACGAATGTGGGCGGCGTTCCGGCGAGAGTCGCATAGTGGAAAGCTCTGACCCGCCGTCTGCACAATTCGGACGAGTTGGCTTCGGCTCTGGGCTCGCAGATCACACGGAAGACTCGGGCGCCTCGCTCGGCCTTTGCTTGCGGACACGTCCGGTGGTGCGACAGGAGAAGTCGTGTACGAGGCGAAAAGAAGATGAATGAAGGGCGAAGTTGACGAGAATAGTGTTGAGGGCCTCGACGAGGACGAGAGCGAGTAGGAATATGAGGAGGAGGAGGAGGAACAGGAAGAGGAGGAGGAGGAGCAGCAGCAGAAAAGCCGACGAGAGAGAGCAAGACGAAGGGGGCCAGTTGGGCCCGTGCTTCTGTTCCCGCCCACCGGCGCCCCGGCCCGAGGCGCGCCCAGGCGTCTGGGGGAGCTGGTGACCGATCTGTTCACGCTGGAGCAGAGGAGGCCCTCTGGCGACGGGTGCGGGGGGGAGGGCTCCTGCTCCTCCTCCGCCTCCTTGTCCGTCCTCCTCCTCCTCCTCCTCCTCCTCCTCCTCCTCCTCTTCCCCCTCCTCATTCTCCTCCTCATTCTCCTCCTCCCCCTCTCTCCTCCTTGGAGGAGGCGGGAAGCGAGGTGAAGGCGCGGGAGGATCGGGAGAGAGGGAGGAGCGGAGTGGGGGGTGGGATCTGGGTGAAGGGGATGGGGGGGGCTCCTCCCCATCCTTCTCCACTACCTCCTCTTCCAACCTCCTCCCTCGTCCTCCTCCTCTCCCTCCTCCTCGTCGTCCTCCTCCTCCTCCTCATCCTCATCCTCGTCCTCATCCTCGTCCTCATCCTCATCCTCCTCCTCGGAGAGGGATGAGTGTGAGGGCATGGAGGGTGCAGGGAGCGGGGCCTGTCTTCCTCTCACAGAGAAGCGAGAGGGGGGAAGAGGCGGAAAAAGCGGCAGAGAGGATATGGGAAAAGTTTGGCCCGCTCGAGCCACACTTGGTTGTCTTCCCCTCCCGCTCATCCCTTCCAGTTGCGTCCTCTTCATCGGTGGAGTGGGGCGTCTATCTTTATATCCACATGGTGATTTCAGGACTTGGCCCATGGCTTGTTGTCCGAACGGCGACGGGGACCGCTTGTGGACAGTATTGAGAAAGAGGAGGATAAGGTGAGGGAAGAGGAGGAGGAGCATGGGGAGAAGGAGGACCAGGAGGACCAGGGGGGACAGGAGAAGTAGCGCGTGAGGAAAGGAAGTGTGGGGCCGGCAACAACGAGAAAGGAATCCGATCAATAAGAGCGAATGGTGTTGGGTCGAGCGCCGTTCCGACCGACAGATGCGAGCCCCCGATCTTGAAACGAAGCCAGCGCTCTCTGGGAACACCATTCTGAAGGTCCGCAGACGTTCCGGTGGTCAAGGGGTGCTACATACCTATAGGCTTCGCTTGGATGATACCCCCCTGTAAAGTCCCACCATCACCGCGCCTGCGCTCCCCCGACGAAACACATTGTTTTCGTATGCCGTGCAACTTCGCACATTACGCACTACGGATGAATGTGGCCGCCCACGCATTGAATTCTCCCCCGCCTGACTGACCAGACCCCCCTGCCACGCGAGCAAATTCGGGGAATCCTTGCCGCGAAACATCAGTAACCATCGCACTCTTCTTCACGTCCAGGCCACCAATTCCGAGAAATTTCTTTGAGTCAGGTTGAGGCCAAGTTTCGCAGTCCCACCCTACCCCACCAGGTTGGCGACTTATGGAAGCACCGGCGGCGGGCAATACAATTTGCATCGTCAGGGCCCGCCCCGACTGAATGTCGTTCTCGGACTTCGGCGCATATTCAAAACTCCGTAGCCTCGGGCCATGGCTGAGGCCCGGCCTTCCTGAGTCCAATGAAGCGCCGAAAGGGAGCCAGCGCATGTCGCAGCAGATACATGTCTCGGTTAACGTCAGGCTGCTCGACGGCGCCTTCATCCGCAAGAAAGCTGAATCGGTGCAAACCGCGCGGACGGTCGGCGTGTGCGAGGTGTACAGCGTCATCGCATTCATCCGCGAGGTCGCGCATTTCGCCATTGACGAGTGGCGAGAGGCCGAGTTTGGTGGCATCGACTCCAGAGGCGGCAAGCACGCGCGTGTGGGAGTACGGTAGGTTGCGGCAGCGGCCGATCGTTCAAGGTTGAACGATCCCTGCGGTGTCAAAAACCAACGCTGGGGTCGGCACGACACGAACCTGCCGTACGCGGGAGGCACCGCCATCCTGTTCATCACCGCCCGCATTGTGTGGTTGTTTCGACCGCGCTGTACTACTCAAGGCTTCTCTGTCGGCCACTGCTGCGGCGAGCACCTCTGGTGGATCGGTGACTGTCGCTCGAGAGCAGCAGAACGAAGTTCTGCTTGGCAGGGCGGTTCTGGACCGACAGCACGCAATTGATGGTCGGCACGCCGATCGAGAGCTCAGAGGTGACCGTTTCGCGGCTAGACGACCTTCCCCACGCCTGGCTCTCCGACTTGTCCGAGGTCTCGTCGACCCAAGCAGCGTTGTGCAGGATCCTTGCGCTGCAGCTGCACGCCGACGTCGACATACAGTCGGTCATGGTCGTGACCGTCTGAATGGCTGCGGCGAGTCGTCGTTCAAGCTGCTGGAGGCGTTGTACCCGATCTCGGCGACGGCATTGACGTCATCGGCGCTGGAGTGCAAGGACTACGAGACTCAGTGCAGGGTCGCTTCCGTGATCGCCGACAGCGAGGTCCTGCTCGTGGATGAGTGGTCCGTCAGCAGAGAGTAGCTCGCCATCATAGATAGACATGCTGCTGTCCATCGGTTCCGGCGGCACGGTCGCGGCTCGCGTCTATCAGGTCGGGGATCAACGGATAATCATTTTTTTTTCGTTGGTTGATTATTCGGGTTTCACGCGCCGTCTGCGGTTGCTACGCTTCCGCGTTCGTTTTTATTCTTGACGCGCCTGATCATCGCAAATATAAAATCAAGATCATGTGCCCTTGTGGCGAGGAGGATAGGGATCCTTGGGCTATCGAGACCTGTTTTCACCCTGTGCAAACTCCCTGCCCTGGTCACACGGTCCGGGTGTCCTTGGAAAGCGCAATGGTAGCGCGGGGTAGACCCAAAGATCGCCCACACAAAAGCATCGAATATTCGGACCCCGAACGGGACGAGTTGCACGACCATTATTCAGTACAGTCGGGCATGGTGCAGCCAATGGACATCGTGGATCGCAAAATGGAATGGCATCATTCATTATGGACTTCGAGCGTCGCATCGTGCAACCTGCGCCCACAGTTGGACCCGTGCCGAAGTTGAGCAGACGGCGCCTTCGTCTATTCGTGATGTGCGCGAAGCTTTCGCCCGCATGAAAGGTCGGTTTGGCCTTGGCATCAACCGATCTCCGCCGACAGATTTTCAAAGTTTGCCCAGCGAGGGCATCCAGGAATTGTGCACTCTGTTACGTGTGGCCGAGGGAAGCCAACCATGGCCCCGGCAACATGTGCGCGTCGCGGGCAAGCTTCTGGGCCAGAGTGCTGGCGGAGACCGAGCCATCGGGCCCATCGCCACGTGTGCTCGGGCGTTGGCCATGGCTCGGGAGGCGCAGGTGAAAGCGCAGTCGCCCGGGCAGGTGGAAGTGGACCACTAGGGCGCGGCCACCGCGGGCCCGATTCGAAAACAGGCGGTGTCTCGAGCGGGGATGGGGGTGCCGCACCACCAGGAGGCCGCCCCCCCAGCTCCTCGCGTTAGTGGTGGCGCCGCTCCGAAAAAAATAAGTGTGTGTGTGTGAGAGTGTGTGTGTGTGTGTGTGTGTGTGTGTGTGTGTTTGTGCGTGCGTGCGTGCGCGCGTGCGCGTGCGCGTGCGCGTGCGCGTGCGCGTGCGCGTGCGCGTGAGCGTGCGTGCGTGTGCGTGTGCGTGTGCGTGTGCGTGTGCGTGTCTGTGTCTGTGTCTGTGTCTGTATCTGTGCGTGTGTGTGTGTGTGTGTGTGTGAGTGTGTGCGTGTGTGCGTGTGTGCGTGTGTGCCTGTGTGCGTGTGTGTGTGTGTGTGTGTGTCCTGTGTGTGTCTGTGTGTGTGTGTGTGTGTCTGTGTGTGTGTCTGTGTGTGTGTCTGTGTATGTGTGGGTGTATGTAGGCGTGCGTGCGCGCGTGCGCGTGCGCGTGCGCGTGCGCGTGCGCGTGTGCGTGTGCGAATGCGTGTGCGTGTGCGTGTGCGTGGGCGCGTGCGTGGGCGCGTGCGCGTGCGCGTGCGCGTGCGCGTGCGCGTGCGCGTGCGTGCGTGCGCGTGCGTGCGTGTTCGTGCGTGCGTGTGCGTGTGCGTGTGCGTGTGCGTGTCTGTGTCTGTGTCTGTGTCTGTGTCTGTGTCTGTGTCTGTGTCTGTGCGTGTGTGCGTGTGTGCGTTTTTTGATCGTGCAGGTGTGCACAGCCAAGCTGTACACGCGACAGCCACCAGGGCCGTCCCAACCGAGCCCCTCGGCCCGATCAACCATGCAAGGCTACGGCAGGGCCCCACAGCCCACGCCAAGCAAAAGCACGGCGGAGCTCACCCTTCGGGCAAGCACGCGCGAAGCGCTAGCACAGTCCAAGTTAGACCACGCGAAGCGTGTGCAACACGAAAAGATCGACATCACTCGCCTTAGGAGGACCATCGCCGACGTGCAGCACACTGACGAGCACGCGAAGCGTGAAAGATATGTCGGCGCGAGCCCTGCATGACAGCAGCACAGGAGGCCGCCACGCCAGGGCCCACACTCGAAAAGAACGCGCACACGTCAGTCACGCGAAGCGTGCATATCCGCAAGCGAGGGCAGCCAAAGGGGCTTCTGCCGCGGGCTCCTTGCAGCGAGCCTTCAGAGTCCCACCGGGGCACCAAACAAACCGCAAACACCAAAGGCATGCTGCGCCGTCACTCGCTCAGGCAGACGCTGCCTCGACTTGGGGTCCAACCCCTGAAGAATCAAATCATGCCGCTGCCGTCTAACGCGTCCTGCGTTGTCGCCTTTCATGGGGTGTCCTGTGCACTCCTTCCCAAGCTGGCGCAGAAGTCCGTCGCGTTCACGAACAAAATAACAACATTTCATGCATGCACGAAACCCACTGACGATATGTATATCATGGCCGAGAGCATCCGCGGGTAGCGACGTCATCTCTGCCGCTTCACTCGCATCTGCACCCGACGAGGGCGGCCCAGGCTGGTGCTGATCTCCATCCCCGTCGTCTCGGCCTTCTGCACTGCTCTGAGACGCTGCCATGGCGGCAGCAGCTGCTGCTGTCGCAAGCCCTGCAGCCGCTGCAGGGCGATTGGCCCCTGAGCAGGGACTCCCACCGACCAGTTGCTGGGGACCTGGCCTCGGGATGCAGGGTAGGTAGGTGAGCTTGCGCTGAGACTCCTTCGTTCTCGCATACCTCCCACACGTAGTGCACCGCCAGCAGCCACCTTTCTCCACGAATTCGTGCGCGTTGAGGATCATCTGGATCTTCGGCGGCTGCTTGATGACCACCTCCGTGTCGATGTCATCACGGGCTGCAGCGGCAGGAACACCAGCACAGGCGACCCACGCAACCACCCCGTCAACCATGAGGTCGGTGCGCCAGAGCTTGTCCCTGTCGTCTGTCCCCAAGGCGAATGGACGTGTGGCCTGCTTGGCCCAGTCGTCTGCCTCGAGGTTGCCACGGCGCTCCCAGCGTGTGAGCCTGCCCGCTTCAACATCTCCGAGGGTCCCATGGCCTTTGACTTTGACCACCGTCAGACCCTCAGGGCGCAGTCCTCCGAAGTCGTCGATGGCGTCCCAGACCAGCCTCCAGAGGAACGCCCAACGGTGAGACGACCCGCATGTGCCTTCACGCCCACGCGACATCAGCCCGTCGACAACGTAGCCAGCATCCACTCTCACGGTGATCGCCGCAAAACTGTGACGTATCAAGATCAGGACGGCCAGCAGCTCCGCTCCCTCGATGGACTGGTGCAGCCCCATCAAAGGAGACCCCAGCGCCCTCAGCGCACACCTCGGGCCTGGGTCGAACCTACCTGGCCCGCTGGGGATCTGCACCACTGCACAGCCTGCCATGCCGTAGTCCGTGTCGAGGTCAAACGCTGACCCGTCTGTGAAGAGCCCGGCGTCGTGAAAGGGCACTCCACCGTTGCCGAGTAGCCGGCGTGCACCTGACATCAGCTCGTCCTGAGGCGCTTGCCATATCACCTTGGGCCTGACCATCAGCAGCCTCTCGACGAGCGTGATGATGTTAGGGTGATCGGCCTGCCGCCTGAGCATCTCAATAGCTGCTGGCAGCTGCGGTTGAGGCCAGTGGTGTGCACACTCGATATGCCTATGCCACAGGCTGCCGACCTTCCCAGGACACAGCGCGCAGTCACTCGTGAAAGCAGACCGTGGGTTGTTGTAATACCGCCGATGATTGACCAACTGCCCGTTCACCACGAGCGACCTGGCGTACCGTCGCTCCTGAGCACCAAGCGAAGGCCAGTCTCTCCCTTGTGATGCCGTCGGCCGCCTACGTAGAATCCACCTCCGAATGTGTGCAATGTTGAACCCATTGTCTAGGTGCGGCACCTTGTCCGCGACCTTCTGGAACTGCCGCCGCAACACTGCCGTCTTCACCAGCTGCTTGGTATACCATGGCGAGAAATCCATTGGCTTGTAGACTGCCCCGTTCGCCGAGTTGATCCACGTCGCGATGCTGGCCACGGCCCGCCCGACGCGCAGGAGGGGCAGGAAGGCATCGCTGATGGGGCCCCGAACTTGATCCCAGGTCGTGACGTGCGCCGAGGTCCAGCGCATCACTGAGGTCAGGATGGACAACGGCACCCACGAGTCCCAGACAGCACGGTGCATCATACAAACGGGATCGATTGTGGCTCGAAAGGTGGGGTCGAGCTCACGCACAGTTGACAACATGAGGCTGAGCGTGCGACTCTCCCCGCCAACTCGAGCCTCAGTGGCCCGAAAAGCCAAGGAGCGAGCAGTCTGAAGATCGCTGTCGCTGAGCCCCGTGCAGTTCACACTGTACGCGTAACGTGCCTCGAGGCCCTGCTTGGCGATGCGGGTAGCGACCCCTCGCGGCCCTCCAGAGCCCAGCGCCAGTCGTACACGCGGTACTCGTCGCCCAGCTGCTCGGAGCCTTGCTCTACGAACGGCTCGTCCCAGCACACGGCCTTGAACGAAGTCTGTGCCGAGGTTCCTGGCGTGCTTCACCGCCTGAGCGCCAGTGACCTTGTGCAGCTTGGCCTTCAGCTCCTTCTCCAGCGCTGAAGCCGATGCCAACACCTGAGACTTCTTGGCCGAGATGCTGATGCTGTCCGTGGCCAGGCTGTTGACGACCACCTGCGCGGCGAGGATGATATCCCTGCCGGCTCGCTTCTCGCCACCGTGCCTCTGCAATGCCAGATCGTCCACCACGATGGCTGGCGTAACCGTGGGACACAGGGACTGCATGCGATCGACTGACTCCATGAGCTGCAGCTTCATAAAAGTCGCGGCAAACGAGTCTCCTGCCATGACCGTCTAGTGCACCAAAATCAGATCTGAGACTGCACCATCGAGAACCAATGCCCGCGCTTTGGAGTACATGCCAATTTGTAGCTCGAGCAGCCAGAGCGGGAAAGAGAACTTCTGAGCCAGACGAAGCAAATTGTCGTGACGAATCTGTTCGAATGCCTTCCACAGGTCCAACAACAGTGTGGCCGTGGCCCAATCTGCACTGGGATCCTCATCACTCTTCATGGCCATCCATTCACTCAAAACAAGTTGTTGCCAGACTGCTCTGTCGCAGCTCTTGTCTGCTGACGCCCACCAGTATGCACGATCATTCTGGGTCTCCCAAGCAGTGGCAAGGGGCCTCCGCAGGCGTCCGTGCACTCGCACAAGGGCGGCGAGCAGGGCAATCGGACGAACTCCACCTTCACGCTTTGGTACGAACGCAAGCTTATTCACAAACTCTGGCCAGGTCGTGCGCCCCTCAATCAGCACAATCAGACCTGCCAAAGCGTCAACTCCACCGTCGCCCAGCACGCCGAAGTCACGTGGGCTGAAATTGTCGAAGCTCTTCCCACCTCCGACTCTGAACGTGGCGAATACCCGACGGAGGCATTGGCGGTGGGCTCCTTCGTGAATGCATGTAGCGCTGCACCTCCGACGACTGCCTGGGCATCGATCCAGTCACCGAATCTCGCCTTAGACTCCTTCACGTCCCGCGCGACGGCGTCGTCGGCAAGTTGCTTGGTGACCGCTGCCAGGCGCAGGTCCCCAACAGGACACATGTGCTCACGCGCTCTGCACAGCAGCGCCACAACCTTGCACCATAAGTCCCCAGGGGCGCCGCGCTGACGTCGATCCAGAGCCCGATGTCCACGTGCCTGCCTGATCGGGTCGCTGCTCACAACGACCGCTGCTGCCAGGGCTGTCCCTGTCAGCCATCTCGAAGTCTTACTCACCTTCGGGATGCGGGGGGCTGACGGTGGACACGCGCTGGTCCAGCTGAGCTCAGGCCCCTCTCCACGACCACCATACTTACCAATGTTGAGCCCCGCCAGGTCGCGTGTGTGCCTGTGTGCCTGTGTGCCTGTGTGCCTGTGTGCCTGTGTGCCTGTGTGCCTGTGTGCCTGTGTGCCTGTGTGCCTGTGTGCCTGTGTGTCTGTGTGTGTGTGTGTCTGTGTGTGTGTGTGTGTGTCTGTGTGTGTGTCTGTGTGTGTGTGTGTCTGTGTGTGTTGGTGGGGGTCAGTGGGCTCAGGCCGTGAAGCCTCGACCCCTTCATCGCCCCCAGGGCCTCCCTGGGCTCCCCCAGGAGGCCCCCGGAGCTGTGCAGAGTTTCCACGATGGTCCCACGACAGTCCCAGCAGGCCCCCAGGCTGCCCCAGGAGGCCTCCAGCAGCACAAGGGGGCCCCCAAAGTGGCTCAGGAGGCCGTAAGAGTGGCTCAGAAGGCAGTCGAAAACCACAAGGCCTCCCAACATGCCTCCTTTCTTTTCTGGAGTCCCCATTTGTTGCGAACGTGTGATTCCAAGATTTCCTCGGAGGCCCAACTCGTCTCGAAGAGCGATGCGAGATTGCCCAAGGATGGCCCAGCACTACTGCGAAGACCAAGCCCCAGTGCGATGTCAGACACCAACTCATGGGTCCCCAAGCCAATGACCCGATCATCGGGACACGGCTCCGGGGCGCTCTACGTCTGGCCCCATGACAAGTAGAATTTGAGCGCGTGCGAAGCGCCCGCGATGGTTCCAGTACAGATATATACACATATAGTTATTGACATACAAAAGTGTATCGAGTGCTTCCTCTCTCTCTCTCTCGCTTTCTCTATCTCTCTCTCGCTCTCTCTCTCTCTCTCTGGATGTAAGTCTGTTTTTGCGTGTTGGTCTTCCTCCATGTGGACATATATATATATATGTGTGTGTGCATGTTGTCATCATCCATCTCTCCCTTTCTCTCTCTTTCTCTCTCTCTCTGTGTTTCTCTCCCTCTCTGTCTTTTGCCTGCTCTCTCTCTCTCTCTCTGCGATTGCCTTCCCCCCCCCGTGCCATCTGCACCCGCCTTCCCTTGTCTTCTCCGTCGGGTCGCCGTCTTCCTCCCGCTCCGCTATGTACCTCGCCGCTGCTCCGTTTTTCCCCCTCCCCCCTGGGAGGAGGAGGACGAGGAGGAGGAGGAGGAGGAGGGAGAGGGAGGGAGGGAGGGAGGAACGGAGGGAGGGAGGGAGGGAGGGAGGGAGGGAGGGGAGGGGGAGGGGGAGGAGGAGGAGGAGGAGGAGGAGGAGGAGGAGGAGGAGGAGGAGGAGGAGGAGGAGGAGGAGGAGGAGAGCCCCGGAGCCCTCGGGAAGCCCTCCAGAGGACCAGACGGGGGCTACAAGGATTCGGCCTGGACCGAAACATTGCGCCATATGCGGAACAACATGCGATTCCTGGCCATCTTTCTCACCCTCAGGCAAGGCGCGGTGATCCTGCACTGCGTCGGGCTCTTGTACACTTTCATCGCCATCGCGTTTGTCTGCGACGAGTGCTTTGTGCCTGCGCTGGAGGCGGCACCCCCGCACTGGGGGCGCGAGCGGACCTCATTACTCATCATGTTATTCCTGATCCTTGTGTGACTCCGTTTCCTTGTTCGCAGTGTTCTTCGTATGAGCACATCGTGTTGATTTTTTCCAGGGATGACATCATGCTCCTCTTTCTTATGTGTACAGTTTCTCGTCCGCACTACGTTCTCATCGCTGTGCTCGCCCAGACGTTTTTCCGTCCTCATCAATTGTATCCCTCCTCCCTCTTCGTCCCCTGTCTTGGGATCACAGAGCGTGAGACAAGGATGAGAAAGGACAGAGCTATACACAGTGCACGCGGTCACGAGAAGGATATCGAACGGAGAAGGAGTATGGGAAGGTATAAAGGATAAGAGGAATAGGTAAAGGGATTGGGTAGCAGAGGAAGGATGAGGAGTCGGGAGGGGAAAGTTGCAGGCAGAGGGAGCGGGAGGATGAGAGGGGGGAGGACTGGGAGGGAGAAGAGGAGGAGGAGGAGGAGGAGGAGGAGGAGGAGGACAGGGAGGAGGAGGAGGAGGAGGAGGAGGAGGAGGAGGAGGGGGAGGAGGAGGAGCAGGAGGAGGGGGAGGAGGAGGACGAGGAGATGGAGGAGGACGAGGAGGAGGAGGAGGAGGAGGCGGCGAGGCGGAGAGAGGAGGGAGGCGGAGGACCCGCAGCAGCAGCGGTTCGGGAGAGCGGGCGGCCGCCGCACCCCCGCCCAGGTGATCACGGAGGAGCTGAACCTGACGCCCGACGTCGCCGGCGCCACGTTCATGGCGGGGAGGGGGTGGGTGAGGAGGTCTTCGGGCGCATCTTGGAGCCATCGTAGCCGTCTTTGAGGCCATCTTGGCGGTCTTGGAGCAACTTGGAGGCCATCCTGGGACATCTTGGCCGTCTTGGAGGCCATCTTGGGCCATCTTGGGGCAAGAAAGGCGACGACAGGCGGGTTCCGGGTGGCCGGCAGGACGGGCCGGGCGCGGTGGAGGAGGAGGCTTCGGGACGGTGTGTGTGTGTAGTCCGCTCACTTCCCTATGACATCCCTTCCCCAAAACTGTATTGGCTCAGGTATCGGCAAGCTGAACTTGGTGCACGGGTCGCTGCGCAATGCCCAGGAAAAGAAGCATCTACCAACGGACCCCATACAGGAACGGCCCCTCGGCCGTCTCCCTGTATACACAGGGGGAGGAGGTTTTTGGGCGCGGTGGAGGAGGAGATGGGGGAGGATTGGGGGGGGTAGGAGGTCGTGGAGGAGGGCGTGGAGGAGGTGGGGGAGGAGGAGGTGGTGGAGGAGGGCGAGGGCGAGGAGAAGGGAGGCAGCGAGCCGACATACAGGTAGGAGTGAGCCTTCGCCGGAGGGACCTCTGGTGCGGGCCCACGGGGGCCCCCCGATCGCTGAGCGAGATGCGATACAGTCAACCCACATAATAAGGATGAGCAAGTTTCCAAGGTTGCCCTTGCATCCTTCCCCCTCTGCCCATCCTTGGCCGCTTTCGCTGGCCGCGCCCCGCCCGCAGAGTGTCCACATGGCCTTCTAAGGCCCGTGCATCCTTGTCGTGCGCCCTTATTCTACGGGTTGACTGCAGGGGAGGAGGTGTTTGGACGTTTCCGTGATGCTTTGCGGCCTTTCAGCCTCGGGCTGCTCTCCAGAAGCTGCGCCACGCCACAGGGCTCTCCGAGGGTGCCCAGATCGTCCCTGGAGGTCCTTGAGGCGGGGGTCAATGGGGAAGTCGGGGGGGGCTAGGACGGGGATAAATCCGTTCCAGGGCTTCCTGGAACGCTCTCAGAGCGCTCTGGAACGCTCTGGGACGGCCGCGGTGCGCGATGCATATTCCAGAACCTCTGGGCCTCCAAGATTTCTGATTTATTTTCCTCCAGATCATCGTCCTGGTTTCGTGTCATGGGGGGGTGCTTGAGACGGGGATCTACGCAAAAAGGGATCAAGCACAGTGTTGGATCACGCAGGATCCTGCAAAGCCAGGGATGCATTGACCTGGGCTTGCTCGCAGGATCCCGCAGGATCCTGCAAAGCCTGCCTGACCCGGGTTTGCATTGACCCGGGTCAGTGCGTCTCCGATGGGGGGGTCAGCCACTCGCAGAGGGGGTTAGGGGGAGGGGGGAAGGCTTCTTAGAAGCACCCCTGCTTCTTAGAAGGCGCGGGCCTTGTCTGTAGATGTAAGGCCGGCGCCCTACAAGAAGCAGCCTCCTTCTAAGACGCCTCCCCCCCTCTCCCCATACCCCCCTGTGCGCGCCGTCAAGGGGGGGGCGCGGCCCGCGGCCCTCCTCCGCCTCTCCTGTTGCACGCACCCTCCTTGCAACCTCCCGGTCCCGAGGGGGAGGCTCCGCGCGGGACGCCTCCCCGTCGTGAGGGTGTGCCCCCCGGCCTTGGGTCTGACGCGCGGCCGCAGCCCGCGGGCGGGCGAGATGCCAAGCCGCCCAGCCTTCTCAGCTGGGCGCGCGTCCTTCCTGCCGTCCCCCCCCCCCGCTCAGGGGAGGAAGAGGTACCCATACCTCTACCCCTTCGCTCATGTTCCCTTCTCTGGGCCTCCTGGGGGGCCCTGGTCGCCACCGCTGGATTCGCCACGAACTCCTGGTCAGAACGCACCCCGGGAGAGGTCCGGGGAGTAGCGGTATCGGTACATTTGGAGTCCTAGCCCTTGCCTCCTCCGCTCTCCGCCCATCTCTCCTCTCCTGCCCTGCTGCTATCGCCGCTTCCCCCCCCCTGCCTCGCTCCTCAGTCCTGGGCCTCTCCGCTCATGCTGCCGCGGCTGATGCCTCCCTGCTCTTCCTTTGGCTTCCACCGCTCCTGCGGCTGCCGCGCCTCGTCCCCCTGCTCGGTGTACCAAGGCTGAACCTAAACGTTTTTATGCTGTGAGTTTCAAGTGTTTGTTGTGTTTTCGTTCTTAGCGAGTTTTGTTGTTCGTTCTCAGCGGGGTCTGAAAACGATGATGACCACTTGTCTGGGCGACGCTTATCTGGGCGACGCGCGCAGTATACTGAGTGTACTGCCCATCCTGCCCGCCCTTCCTCGCCGACCCCCCCCTTTCAAAATACCCGTCAGTCGCTGAAAGTAGGTATTTTTGTATACCTGGGTCGCAATCTACTTGAGGCGCCTGCCTACTTTCAGAGTCGAGTGGCGTTCCCTCTTCCCTCCTCTACAGGGGGCAGGCGGAGGCCAGTATACTTTCAATGCCATGCTACTTCATGTTTCTCTGCCCACTTCCTTCGACCGACGGGTACTGCCCGTCCTGCTTCTCCCTCCCTGCTCTGCGTTTTTCCCCCTCCCTCTCCTTCCCCATCCCCCCCAGGAAGTTCGAGGAGCAGGAGGCAGGGAGGCGGGACGGAGGCGAGGTGGACGGGGAGGGGGGGTGGCGCAGGCGGTCTCGGCAATGTGCGGCCACCCTCTGAGCCTCGATCGAAGAGCTGCGCAAGGAGTGATGAGAGCCAGCTGGCCCGGGAGGCGTCCTCGGCCCTGCGGACAGAGCGGAGATGACAGGCGGAGGCCGGGACCGCCTCCCTGCCGGGAGGCCTTCCCCCTTTTTCCGCGGGCGCTCCTCGTTGGAGCGTGTCCGGGGCGGAGCCTCTGGGAGGCGGGCCCCGGGGAGGACGCGATGCCACGTCTCGGGTCGCTGACGGGCGAGTGGCTGGCGCCGCTGCGCCCTGCCTCCGCGTGTCCTCCCCCCCCCCTCCTTTGGTCAGGGGAGCGTGTTTCACCTCCATCTTCCCCTCCTCCCTCCCTCCGTCCTCTGGCATCCCTCCGCCACCACCCCTCACATCGCTCCTGCCGATCCTCCGCGTCTCTTCCCTTCCCTCCACGTTCTCGTCATCCCCTCATCCGTTTCCTCCCTGTCTGCCTCCTCCTCCAGAGTAATCGCTTCCCTCCTCCTCCTTCTCCTCCTCCTTCTCTTTCCCCCTCTCGCCCCTCCTCCCTTCTTCCATGCACGCCCGCGTGCGCTAGCGAGCGAAGGCAGCTGGCGGTTCGGCCCCAGAGTTCTTCACCTCGCTCATAGGCGTGCGTTGGGCTTGCGGGGCTCTTCCTCTCCAGGAAGAGGAGGAGGAGGAGGAGGAGGAGGAGGAGGAGGAGGGAGCAAGCGCATGAAAGAATCAGGGTACCGCCGCTATACAAACTTTACGCGGGGCCCCTGTGCTGGGTCCTGCGTTCACGGCCTCGCAGATGGGGGCGGAGTAGATGGGGTTGGAGGATCTCGCCTCATCGCCGAAGCATCGCCGATGCGGTTCGATGTGGAGCCAGATCTCCCTCCGCGCCGACGTCGGCGATGCACCGCCGACGTCGCCGATGCATCGCCGTTGCATCGGCGACGCATCGGACCCCACTTGGGAGGCCTGCAGCGCGGGGACGTGTTCTTGGCTGCGGCCGCCGTCGGCCCTCTGTCGCGCCCCGCCGGGCAGTCGCGTGCCGCCGGACCCCGGGCTCGATCGGGCCTTCGCGGGCTCTCGTGGCGCGGAGGGGATCCATCCGCGAGGCCTTGTCGGGTCAGGCTCGATCCGAGGCCAGGGGGAAGAGAGAGGGGGGAGGAATGGATGAGTGCCGGGAGAAAGGGCAGGAGGAGGAGGAGGAGGAGGAGGAGCAGGAGGCCAGCACAAACACACGAGCCAAGAGCGCTTTCTCTCCGCCATAGTTACATCGTGTCAGCATGCTTTCACGCCCACTTGCCGGCCTCTGTCTCATGGTATTGTAGGGGGGAGTTGGGGTAGATCAGGGGAATGTGGCGTTCCAAAATTACGCTGATCGCATTTCGTAATATGACCATGGCCAACTCAATTGCACCAGTAACTCCTTCCTTTCATTCCTCGCTCGAGGCTGCCGCGGTGTTCCGTACGGATTGAGCTTACGATATCGCCACCCTCTTGTGTCCTACCTCCTTCTCCTGTAGCAAAGGTCGCCACGCTGCCGTGCTCGCCCAGCGAAAATTACCCTGGCGAAGGACCCAACCATATGTATGTGTGGGTACCGCAATTGTGAATATCTTCTCCGGTGAAGCTCCCTGTGGGGACACGAAGCTCTGCACTGGGTGGGGGGAACGCATGCGGGCGGTAGCACTGGGGCCGTCGGTGGAGCTCCCTATGGGGCCACGAAACGCTCTACTGGATGGGTGAACGTGTCAAATTGCGTGTGCGGGACGCATGTGGGCGGTCTCACTGGGGGCTTCGGTGGAGCTCCCTATGGGGCCACGAAACGCTGTACTGGGCGGGTGAACGTGTCAAATTGGGCTTCCGGGACGCATGCGGACGGTACCACAGGGCTTCGGTGGAGCTCCCTATGGGGCCAGGGTGGAAATGCCAAATTGGGTTTCCGGGACGCATGCGGACGGTTCTAATGGGGGTTTCGGTGGAGCTCTTCATGGGGCCACGAAGCGGTATATTGGGTGGGTGAGAATGCCAAATTGGGTATGCGGGACGCATGTGGACGGTCCCCCTGGGGGCTTCGGTGGAGCTTCCTATGGGGCCACGAAACGCTGTACTGAGTGCGTGAAACTGCCAAAGTGGGTGTGTGGGACGCATGTGGGCGATCCCACTGGGGGCCTCGGTGGAGCTCCCTATTGGGGCCACGAAACGCTGTACTGGGTGGGTGAAAATGCCAAATGGGGTGTGCGGGGCGCATGCGGACAGTCCCACTGGCTACGAAACGCTGTACTGGGTGTTGCGGACGCATGTGGCCACCCCCATTGGTGCCTCCGATCGAGCCCCTGATGGGGCCACGAAGCGCTGTATATTGGGTGTGGCGGACACATGTGGCCACCCCCACTGGGGCCTTCGGTGGAGCTCCCTACGAGGCCACGAAACGCTGTACTGGGTGTGGCCGACGCATGTGGTACCCTCCACTGGGGCATTACGTGGAGCTCCTAATGGGGCCATGAAGCGCTGTACTGGGTGTGGCGGACGCATGCGGTACCCCCCATTGGGGCCTTCGGTGGAGCTCCCTATGGGGCCACGACGCGCTGCACTGTGTGTGGCAGACGCATGTGGTACCCCCACTGGGGCCTTCGGTGGAGCCCCCTACGGGGCCACGAAACGCTTTACCAGGTGTGGCAGACGCATGTGGTACCCCCACTGGGGCCTTACGTGGAGCTCCCTATGGGGCCATGAAACGCTGTACTGGTTGTGGCAGACGCATGTGGTACCCCCCACTGGGGGCTTCGGTGGAGCTCCCTATGGGGCCACGAAACGCTGTACGGGGTGTGGCAGACGCATGTGGTACCCCCCATGGGGCCTTACGTGGAGCTCCCCACGGGGCCACGACACGCGGTATTGGGTGTGGCAGACGCATGTGGTACCCCCCACTGGGGCCTTCGGTGGAGCTCCCGATGGGGCCACGAAACGCTGTACTGGTTGTGGCGGACGCGCGTGGTACCCCCCATTGGGGCCTTACGTGGAGCTCCCTACGGGTGCCACGAAACGCCTTACCGGGTGTGGCAGACACATGTGGTACCCCCACTGGGGGGGGCACGGGAGGAGGAGGAGGAGACGCGGGGACCGTTTCTTCAAAACGAGGACCCAACACCACAGGATGGTTGGTAAAAAAGCAAGTGAACCACAGCCATGCAGCAGCACCCACCTAGGAAGGTGCGTCACTCTTTGCCTAATGGGTGGCCAGAAGGGGTTGTCCGAGGAGGATCCTCCTCCCTCCTCCCTCGTCATCCTCCCTCCCTCCCTCCTTCCTTCCCCTCCCTCCCTCACTCCCTCCTCCCTCCCCCCCTCCCTGGGGGTGCTATTGCATTTTGCGACAGGGCCCGGCCATGCCCGACTGCGCCGTACTAGCAGCCAGGCTAACGACCAGTTGCCAAAGGCCGTTTTGGCCCAGTTGGTTCTTGACCCGAACGGTGGCGAAAACGGAGCGTCCGAGGAGGAGGGCTACTGCTGCATGTTGTCACAGGGCCCAGCCATGCCCCACTGCGCCTTACTGGCAGCCAGGCTAACGACCAGTTGCCCGAGGCCGTTTTGGCCCGTTGGTGGGGGAGCCGTCCCATTGGCCAGGGCTGTTCCCCCTTCGGATTACCACCAGCAGCCCTACCACTACAGCTGTTGCCGCTGTCTGCCGTCTATCCTGCCTTTGATTGTCACTAATCTGGGGATCAGAATCACCTCCATTACCCCCCTCACTGACCAGGCACATACTCTCTGCTTTAGCGAGCCTCTACGCGTTTCGTTGCCTCGCATGCTTGGCCCCGTTACGTTCCTGCTGCGGCTACATCGGGCTAAGGTGGAGGCCTCCGCGCCTTCGTTAGCAGTGTTGCTTAGCCTCCTTATTGTCATGCATGCAAGTGCTGAGATCGCAGATCGAAGTCTTCACAGCGTCAGGTCGTGGGGGAGGAGGTCTGACGAGCGCCTGCCTTGGTTTGCAGTGTTGCTTGCATTGTCGTGCCGTCTCCTGTCTGTCATACTAACGCTGAGATCGCAGGAGGAGGAGGAGTAGGAGGAGGAGTAGGAGGAGGAGGAGGAGGAGGAGGAGGAGGAGGAGGAGTAGGAGGAGGAGGAGGAGGAGTAGGAGGAGGAGTAGGAGGAGCAGGAGGAGGAGGAGTAGGAGGAGGAGGAGGAGGAGTATGAGGAGCAGGAGGAGGGCCGACGAACGCCTCTCCCCGCCCACCCTCCCACCCCTTCCCCCGCCTCGGCGAGGAGGACGAGGAGGGGGGGACGAGGAGGGGGCGAGAGGGGGAGATGGAAGAGAAGGGGATGAGGAGGGGGAGGGGGAGGGAGAGGGAGGGGGATGGGGCGAGAGGGAGATGGAAGAGAAGGGGATGAGGGAAGAGAAGGGGAGGAGGGAAGAGACGGGGAGGAGGAAACGGGGATGGCCAGAAGGGGGGCACGCGGAGGGGGCGAGGGTGGGAAAGGGACGAGGAGGGAAGGAGGATACATAGGGAGGGCCAGGAGGAGGAGGAGGAGGAGGCTGGGGCTGACGAGTGAACACCCCCCCTGTGTCCGGCGCCTCGCTCCCCAGCCGCAGGCACCTTCACGGGCAGCGACGTCGGCACGGGCACGATCATCGGCTCGGCGGTTTTCAACGTCCTCTTTGTCATAGGCCGCGGGCGCCGCGTCGGGGGGCGGCAATGCAGCAGCGGAGGAGGAAGAGGAGGAGGCTCCGCCGTTGCTGGTTTGTCACCCCTCACCCCCGTGCAGGAGTGGCCAGAGGACTTAGTTAGCTACACCGCCCACTTGTGGGGTCATGCCTCTTCCCGTGTGTGTTTCGCTTATCCGGCAGATCTCATAGTTTGATCCGCCCCCCCCCCCCGAGCAGAAGCGGCCGCTGGGGGCAGGGGGATGGCAGCATTCCTGGGACGGATCAGCGCCGATGGCGTCGGCGTCAGGAGGAGGAGTAGAGCGAGTGAAGGTGGGGTGGGAGCGAAAAAGAGGTCACGCAGGCGGTGCCCACGCGCCCCACCCACCGCACGCTAGGCGCGGCGCGCCCCGGCGGCATCCTCGGCGGCACGGCGCCGCCGCAGCGCGCTCGGCCGAGGAGCCAGCCTTCACGTCTACTGCTGCTTGCAGTCGCTGCGGCCGCGGCCGCCGTCGGCGCAACCCTGCAGCCGTCGTCCCTCTGAAGCTCGAGGTCCGCCACGACCTTCTGCCCGTCCGAGTTCGCGAGGTCATCGCACGCTCCGAGGCCGCGGAGCACGAGTGCGCGATCGATCATCGCGGCCTTCCGCTCGACCTCCAGCAGCTCCAGTTCCAGCACTCGCACCGCAGCATCCTCCTCTGTGCTGCTCTCGGCGTCGTCGCCGTCGGCGCCGTCGACGGGGTCCTCGACCTCCTGGGAATCCTCTTCGTGGGACTCCGCGACGTCGAACCCCTCCTCGACGACATCCTTCTCCTCCAGGGGGTGCTCGCCGTCGGCGCCGTCGACGGGGCCCACGCGACGACTCGCGGAGCTCGGCCTCGATCGACCGCAGCTCGGCCTCGGGGTCTGGCACCGTGGCCGCCGTCACCTCCGCCTCCGACCCCTCGCCCTCCTGAGACGCCTCCTCGTGGGAATCCTCGCGGGACTCCGCGACGTCTAAAACCTCCTCGACGACATCCTTCTCCTCCAGGGTGCACTCGACGTCGCCCTCGGCGTCGACGCCGTCGACGGGGTCCTCGACCACCAGCTGCGCAACTGGCTCGCTGACCAGGCCCTCGCACGGATAGAGTTCGGCCTCGATCGATCGCAGCTCGGCCTCGAGGTCCCGCACCGTGGTCGCCGTCACCTCGGCCTCGTACAGCTCTTTGCACTGAGCCTCCTCGTCGACGACCCCCTTCTCCTCCAGAGCATCCCGCACAGCGGCGGCCGCACCGCATCCCGCACAGCGGCGGCCGCTGCCGCCAGGAGGCGTGCCTGGGAAACGAAGCCCGCGGGCGTCACCAGCTCGTCCAGAAGCACGTCGACATCGGCGAACGAGGGGGGGAACGCCTCAGCCTCCACGAAAGACTGCAGGACCTCCGCCTCCGCCTCGCCGACACCCGCGATGTGGGGGAAAAACTTCACTGCCTCGGCGCGGAGGGACCACGCCAGCAGGATCTCGGAGCTCTCCACGTCCTCCTCCCCCCCGAACTTCAGCTGGACCTCTTCCTCCTCGGGGTTGCCCTTGTCCGCGGCGTTCAGCAGCCGAGCTTCCAGCTCCGCCACGTGCACCACGTTCACCTCGCCGAGGCGGGGCCCAGCCGCCGCCCAAGCTATGTCAGCAGTCGGGACGCGCGCTGCGTGGAGCCTGGCGTTGCGGCGCCGCCTCCGCGCTCCCGGCACGCGGCGCCCACTCGCCGCCAGCACCAGTGCCGGCCGCGCCGCCGCCTCGCGGTCCTGCCACGACCCGGGGCCACCCCGCCTCGGGACCGCGGCCTCCGCCGCCAGCCGCCTGGCGCGCGCGGCTCGGCGGGCGGCCGAGGCGCCAAGCGTGACGGTCTCGAGCGCCCGCAGCGCCCCTGGGCCACCCCGCATGGGCAGGCCCCCCCCCCAGCTATCACCACCTCGGGGGCCATCGCCGCGGCGGAGGAGGAGGCGCTTCCCCCCGAAGAGAGAGAACGCGGGACGCAACGCTGCCGCCCGCCTGGCGCCCAAGGCAGGCTTGGGCCAAAATGGCTACGGAATGAGGAGGAGGAGGTGGAGGAGGAGGAGGAGGTCAAGGTAGCCAGGTCGAATGAGTCAGCGAGCCCCCGCGGATTTCCACCTTCCCTCCCTCCCGTGACATAAAATCAAGTGTGGCACGACTTGATATTCGGATTGGAACGCATGCCCACCTAGCGAACTGGAGGCGCCCGCGCGGGGCCCCGCTTCCGAAGATTTGTGGCGAACGGAAAACTACAGGGACCTCGCAGAGGCAGAAACGGCACAAGTTCCGATTTGCGCGGCGAAGAGTAAGCATGCGCCGCGCCGATTCGTCATTGCCACTCACGCGCAAATTGGCCGGGCTGTTTTGGCGAGCACAGCATTTCACCCGCTCTCTTGCGGCCCCGCTGCCTGCGCCGCTCTTGTGCCACTCGGCGAGCGAAACATGCTCCGTGCCCACGCAGGAGAGCCACTTCCAAGCACACCGTGCACGGAGTGCGGGCGAGGACGCAGATAGAAGGAGAAAACACGCCAATAACAGAAACTTTTGACGCTCGGCACAGATTTCTTGGATCCTCGCCGGGGTCCCCGGCGGCGCCTCCGGCGCCGCCCCTGGCGCGCTTCGCGCGCCAGGAAGAGGTTCCCGGCGCAGATCCAAGAAATTCGCGCGGAACGCCACAGAGATATGTTTATTGCGTGTTCTTCTTCTAGAAAAGTCGCCCGCTTGCGTGGGGTCCCACAACTTTGGTTGGTTGAAGCGCTCGGCGCCAGGGCGAGATGGACATCTTTGCCCGCTCGCAGGTCTTGGAAAACGAAGGATTGCAAAGGATTGCAACGAAGGATTGCAAAACAAACCAGGATTGCAAAAAAAACCCAGGATTGCAACGAAGGATCGCGAAAAAACCCAGGATGTGCAATCCTTTGTTCAAGGGTTTTTTGCAATCCTTCGTTCAAGAGGCGGAGCCGGGGCGAGAACGACAGTTCGCTCTGTTTTGTGCGGGATGTTCGCCCCGTTGCACTCCTGCCACGCATTCTGCAGCAGCGGCAGCGACGACGACAACAAAATGTAAATCTGAAGGAGGAGGAGGAGGATGAGGAGGAGGAAGAGGAGGAGGAGGAGGAAGAGGAGGAAGAGGAGGATGAGGAGGAGGAGGAGGAGGAGGAGGATGTTCGGAGCCCCGTGGAGGTAGTTGTGTTGCCCTTGGGGGGCTGTTTTGGGGCCTCTTTGGGGCCTCTTGGGGGCCTCTTGGGGGCCTCCTGAGGCCTCTTGGCGGCCTCTTGGGGCCTCCTGGGCGCCTCTTGGAACGGAAGGCTCGGATTTTCGGTTCGAGTTCCCCCTTTTGGGCCCCTCTTGGGGCCGTCTTGAGGCCCTCTTGAGGACGTCTTGGGCGGCTCGTGGGTTGTCTTGGAGCCCTCGTGCGGGCCTCCGGGGCCGTCTTGGGGCGATCTTGGGGGCCTCTTGGATCGGGGGTCCCCAAACGGGGTGGTGACTACACCGTGCGGTGAGTCGGTGGGGATTCGGGGTCACCGCACGGTTTTGGGACTCGAGTCGTTCTCCGAGGACGTCTCGGGCGACAGGGGCCTCTGGGGTCCCAAGACCGTGCGGTGACGGACCGTTTCGGGACTCAAAACTCTTGGAACATCTCAGAGCGTCGGGAAGCAGCAAAGTAAGCGAATCCCAAAACATACAGACACCAAACGGAAATCACTAACATTTAGCTCTCCATCCTGGGAGGCCTCTAGGAGGCCTCTTGGGGCGTCTTGGACGCCTTTTCGGGCGACTGGAGGCCGGCCATCTGAGGCGTCTTGGTGCCCTCCTGGGGCCGAAAGAGTCACGTGACAGGACACGAGGATGCACGCGTGGGAGCCCAGGGGGCACACTGCAAGCCCCAAGAGATGTGGCAAGTTGAGATTCGGGCCCTGAAACGAAGTTTTTGGATTAAAGACTGAGGCTCAGGGGTTCAGCAAGGGACTTGGGGATACTCCATGTCGTGCCACAGCGGCACTGAGGCGGATACGAATGAAACTAAGGACGGGGGTGAGGGGATAACAGAAGAGGAGGATGAGGACCAGGGGGGAGGACGAGGACGAGGATGCGGACGAGGAGTGGATGGAGTAGGATGCAGGAGAGAGAAGGGAGGAGGGATGAGGGGACAAGGACTCGGTGGCAGGGAGCCAACAGGAATGTGCAGGATGGTGGGCGAGGGCGGAGGATGGAGGGGGGGAGGGAAATGAGGGGGTCAGGAGTGACAGGAGAGGGAAAGGGCGGAAACGGGGAGGAGGAGGAGGAGGAGGAGGAGGAGGAGGAGAGGAAGCCGGAAGGAGAATGCCGCGAGGGCGAGGGCGACTGCGACGGCGACGACCTCGACGAGGAGGAGGGTGGGCCCACCCAGCTTCGGCGCAGGCGCCTGCGCCCTGGTCTCCAAGCAGCCCCTGGAGCTGACCTGGTTTCCGCTTGCGCGTGAGCCCCCGCCCCACGGGCGGCCGCCGCCACGAGCCGCTCGCGCCGACGTCGTCGATGCACCGCCGATGCCTCGGAAATGCATCGGCGATGCGGCGCGATCCTCCGACCTCATCTGCTCGGACGCCGTCAGGGGGGGGCTTGAACTTTTGGAATGGGCTACGCCAAAACTGCGGCACGCTGGGCGCTTCTGGCGCCAGGAGGCGCCGATCAGTTGTTTCAGGGCAGTCAGGCACGCGCAGAAGGGGGGTATGGGGGAGGGAGGGATGCTTCTCAGAAGCAGCCCTGCTTCTTTTAGAAGGCGCGTGCCTTGTCTGTAGACGTAATCCTGCGCCGACTTGGAAGCAGCCTCCTTCTAAGAAGCCTTCCCCCCTTCCCGTACCCCCGTGTGCGCGCCGCCAAGGACGGCCGCCGCCGCAACATTGGCTCCTCGTCGTCGCTATCGTCGCCGCCATCGCCGTCGTGCTCGTAATCCTGCAGGTGTTCCTTCTCTCTGGGCCTCCCAGATGGGGTCCGAGCAGGTGGGGACGGAGAATCGCGTCGCGTCGCCGATGCCTCGGCGCTGCGGCTCGATGCCGAGCCAGACTTTTTCCACGCCGACGGCGCCGATGCATCGGCGAGGCGACGCGATCCTCCGACCACACCTACTCGGACCCCTATCTGGCAGGCCTATTATCCGTCCCTCCCTCCCTCGTACTGGTCTTCGTGGTCGTCGTTCCTCGCCTGCTCAACAATTTCAGTATTAATGCTACTCCCCTCGCTCCCCAGAAGACCCCAAGGTCGTAGCCTGCCCTTCCCTCCGCGTATTGATTTGTTACACATAAGATCCCCCAAAAGTGATCAATTAGATTTGCGTTGCCACTCCGCACGAATTCGGCGTTCCAGAATGGCGTTCCCGCTACAGCGTTGGCTCCATTTTCTGGCTCTCTGTCCAAGTCATGCTACCACTGCAGCGTTGACCTAATTTCTTCGTTGCGCATCTTCGAACTCGTGTTCCGCTACAGCGTTGGCTCTCAGTTTGCGCTCCCGCTGTTGCCGAACCGTCCCTTTACATGGTCCGTCCTGCGTCATGCCTGGTTTCCCTCAGAACCTCTTGTCTGAGTGAGTCGTGTTCTGGACCAGTGCTGGCTTTCATGTTACGCGGTGTCTATCACACCGTCCATTTACATTGCCCGTCCTGCATCACGTTTGACTTCTCTCAGAAACTGTTGTCGAACAGCAGTCGGGTTCTCGGCACGACGACGCTCTGCCGTGCTCTTCTACGCCGTGGTACGCCGTGTACTACCATGCATCTCGTACCCTCTCGGGATCATTGCCCTGCTCAACATCCGACTGTGCGAATAGAGAGGAGATCTACCCCATGGTAAGGGATGGGAGGAAGGTGTAGGACGTCAGATAAGACGCTTGCGCACCCAGCTTGTCCTCCTTCTCTCTCCCTCCATCCTCCCGCCCTCATCCTCCCGCCCTCATCCTCGTCCTTCCTCCTCCTCCTCTTGCTCATCCTCTACCCTCCTGCTGCTCAGCCCCCCTCGGGTTCAGCCTCCTCTGCTCCCTGATCCTCCTCTCGGCCTTCTCGCCAGCGTTATGGCCCCTTTCCCACCACCCGTCCCAAGTCGGCGGGCGTGGGGAAGGGAGGCGATGAGGCAGATGCGAAGAGTGAAGGCGGGGTGGGAGTGGGGGAGGAAGTTTTTTGAGGAGGAGGCCTCTCCCCTGAGAGCCCGGGACCAGGGGAAAAACCCGGTTGCGCATGCCAACCGGGTTCAGATCCGGATCAGGGAAGATTTGGGGAGAAGCCTCGGATCTAGGCCTCTCCCTCAGAGCCTTCTGCCACTCCCCCTTCCTGCCTCCTGCAGTGCCTCTCTGCCTCTTCTCGCCTCCTTTCTCTCGCCTCCCCCATCCTCTCCATCCTTTCGCCCCCCCGCCTCCCGCCTGAACTGCTATATGAGCATAACGCTCCAAACTTACGGCCCAGATGGGCCCCAGACCAGACCGCGCTGTGAAGCATGACCCCTGAGATCGGACGTTGCGAAAGATTGCAACATCGCGAAAACTCACGACCAGAACCGACAGACCCCGCGATCCTGCGTCCTTTCGAGCAGGATCGATCTGCGAGGGTATCCCGGGGCCCGAATCTGGGCGAGAGCGAACGTCGTGAAAACTGTGCGGCGCCTAGATCTGAGAGACGTCCCCTTCCGCCTGGATCTGGATCTGAGTGGACATAGGCCTCCTTGATGGGGTCGGAGAGGAGGGGTCGGAGGATCGAGCCGCATCGCCGATGCATCGGCGATGCGGCTCGATGTGGAGCCCGCTTTTTTCCATGCTGGCGTCGCCGATGTATCGCCGATGTATCGCCGACGTCGCCGACGCCGATGCATCGGTGATGCATTGGCAATGCGGCGCGATCCTTCGACCCCATCTTCTCGGACCCCATCGAGGAGGCCTCTAGAATCCTCTTGACCCAGGGCAAGAGCGGCCCGCGCCCGAGGTCGGTCTCCTCCTCCCGCCGATCGTCGGGGGGGAGGGGCGGGCGCGCCGCGCGTGGCGAGCGCGGCGAGCCTTGAGACGCGGGTCGATGCGAACGGGGGTCAGCCAGGGCGCCGGATCTCGCAGGATCATGCAGAACCATGGGTGCATTGACCCGGGCTGGATCTCGCAGGATCTTGCAGAATCCTGCAAAGCCCGACTGGCCCAGGTTTGGATTGACTTGGGTCAGCAGATCCCCGACGAGCACGGCGAGCCTAGGGGGTCGAGCGTTGCGTAATTGGGGGGCGGTAAATGGGGGGCGAAGCAAGATACATCTTTTTGTGCCCCATGAGGGGGTGGGACCCTAAAAGAGGAGCCCTGGGCACCCCGGGGGGGGGGGGGGGGCCCTGAAAAGGGGTGCCCTGGGCCCCAAGCGGGCACGAAAGCTGCCCGTTTCCCACTTCCCCCCCCCCCCCCCCAAGTGTCGCCCCCCAATTGTCGCCCCCCCAATTGTCGCCCCCACCCGCAGATCCGGGCGTTGCCTTTCTGTTGCCAACGGGCGTCTGCGCCTGGCTGCGGGTCCCCTCGGATTTTCGGATGGACCCGCTCCCCTCAGCACCCGTCTTGTTCATCCGGAGGCGTAGGGCGTGAGCTTGGAAAGAGGTGCGTAATTGGGGAGCTGTCGGAGGTTGATGGACCTCCTGCCCTGACACGTCGACTAGCGAATTGGCCGTTTTCGGTTCGCGAGAGGGCGTCGCGGCCGTCATTTTCGCGGGCCCAGGTCCGTCGGTTTCGGTCCCAGGCCGTTTTCATTAAAGGGTGGTTCACAAAAGGGAGGCTTGTCCGCCGCCGAAACTGTGTCCCCCGCCTTCTGCGGAGTGGGCGCAGCGCTTGCGGGGCGGGAGGACGAGAGCTCGAGTAGCGGCAGGCTCTGCACATCCCTCTCCCCAGCGTTTCTTTCGCCGTTTTGCTCGTCGTTCTCCCCTATCGTCCTTCCTTCCCCGCCTAATCCCTCTCCCGCTGCCAGGTGATTCCATATTTTATGCTGTCTCATTAGTGTTCGTCACCGTGTTCTTTCTGGATGGGAAGGCTCGGACCGCGTTCTTTGCCGCATGATCCGCACATGGAGGGCTCCTTCGTCATCACGCGATCTCATTTTTTTTTCTCTCTCTCTCTCTCTCTCTGCCTTGTTGTTGCTGTGTATGTCTCCGTCTGTCTGTCTGTCTGTCTGGCTGGCTGGCTGGCTGGCTGGCTGTCTGTCTGTCTGTTTGTCTGTGCAACGATTGCCGCACTCTGTGAGCCAATGTGGGCCAACACGCATGGACTACAAGCAAAAGCACGCGCGTGCATTGACGCAGACAACCGCACAACCACACTATCCATAAGCACACAGGTATGGAGGTTGTAGGGTAAGGCCGATGTGAACGGAGGCCCCATGCAAGGACATTGATGCCAATGCTGTTTCGTGTCGTGTGCGGGTGAGGCGACCTTGCGCGAGGGCGCGAGAGATCTTGTTCTTTAATTGGTGGTTTTTGACATCAGGCTGTTTCGCCCCCATGTGCGTCTGCTGGTGGTTCCGTGGTTATCCCGTGGTTGTTCTGTTGCTGATCTTTGGGTCGTGTGGCGGGGCGTTGGGCCGACGACGACAACAAAACAACACAACAATAATCGACACCGTGGAACTCCGTAGCCATTTTGGCTCAAGTTTGAAACGCTGCCCCGGCGCTTCGAACTTGGACGCTGCCAAGGGGTTGGCCCGAGCGTCTAGAGGTTAGGCCTCACAATTCTTCTCCAGTCGTGCGCCAAAGCACGCGTCCTTCTTTCCCGCACGACGGTTCGAATTACCCCAGTTGCGCCGATGCCCGCTGGAGTCAAAAAGTCCATCAAGTCCGAGGCCAGGTCTCAGTCTCGGCGGCCAGTCAAGAAGAAGGAGCCCAAGTCTGAGGATGACTCGCGGTCTCCAGAACGGTACTCAATGTGCTCTACTGGCAGTCGTCGCCCCAGCACTGACTCCAGCGAGCGTCACTCGGACCGCACTCGCACCAGGAGCCGCCGCAGGGATTCTGAGATTGAGGACAGCACGGCCCCAGACAAGGCCCCTAGTTGGATGAAGCAGCTGATTGAAGGCATAAGAACCTCGAATTACCGCATCGAGGCGATGGAGCAGAACTTCGCGCAGGAGGTGCAGGTGCTTCAAAGTGCCATCTCGAACACGGATAAGAATGTCCAATCGCTCAATTTTAAGCTCCAGACCCTCGAGGCGTCCACGGCAGTCTCCATCCAAGAGGCGGTCGCGGCGGCGGTCGACACCAAGTTGAAACGCATCGACGCGACTCTGTGTGAGCTCCAGAGTACACCTACCCCACGGTCTGGATCGACGGCTCGACGAGCACCTACTCCTGGCCCACGCCAGGATGGTAGGCACGCAGCTATGGAGCGCGCTCACCGTGTGATCGTGGTCGGCTTCCCTCGGAAGATGATGCAGGCCTCGCTGAGGCGCGCCGCTGATCTGATCCTGGCCTCTGGCGTTCCTCAGTCCTCCCCTCGCCCGACGGTGCGCACGTATGACATGACCAAGAAGATCACCCTTGACTTCACGGACTCGACAAAGGCCACCGACTTCCTGAACATGCTCCAGGCAGGTGCGCCAGTCCAATTCCCCGACCCGATCTACCCCCAACAGATGATCACCCTCCGCGCCAAGAGGGACATGGCACCAGGCACGCGGTTACTCTTCCTTGCCATGGGTAAGGTTCGTGGTGTACTCGCTCCCGTAGTACGACAGGTGGGCAAAGAAATGGGGTCCAATGGTCTTGGTGGAGATGTGTATATCCTTCGTTCGGCGGAAGACCCAGTTCAGATCTGCCACATTGACCTCGTGAACAATGAGTCTGAGCCGCCCCAGATCGCCATCCACTTTTTTCCTGATCAATTTGCGGAGTTTCAGCCGATTATTGAGCCCCACCTCCAGCGTCTACAGGAGGGGGTGGATCATTTGAATTCATCGCAGCCCTTTTAGAGAGGATGGAGACGGGTTCCAGGCTGAGGGCGCGGCGCTAGAGACACCATCAGATGAGTGTCCCCCTGCCGCGAGCCTGATCGTCACTCCTCCTAGGCGCTTTATTGCCTCTATTCCTCCCGTCCGTTGGTCTGAAGTTGTGCCTTTTCCTTCCGTCTATGCCCTCCCTGCCTGTGTCGCCTCGGCCGATCAGGCCTCTGTGTCCGTTCCCCTGGAATGTTCTGGGCAGCACGTCTCTGGCAGCGCTTCTCGGACCTTTCAGGGGATCCCTAGCTCCTTGGTCAGGACCCGCCCTTGGAATCGGTTCTTGGAATACTGCCGCCCTCTTTGCCGCTGTTCGCACCAAAAGTATGAAGGCTGCCCCGCGCTTTGCGAAGTTTCTGAAGCTCGCGAACCAACTTGCGGTCTTTTGTACCCAGGAAACCCACGGACAGATTGCGGATATAAACGAGCTTCGGCGAGAACTTCGGCATTTTGAGATTGGTCACTCTCTGTTCCCTGACTCTACTGCTACTGGTGGTGTTATCACGTGCATCCAGCCTGCGTTTGCGAAGCTCTTCTCCTCTATCTCTCACTCCAGCGTCATCGATGGTCGTATTCTCAAGTCTTATCTCTCTGGGCCTCTCGGGAACCTTTGTATCATCAACGCCCACATGCCGAACACTAATGAGCTCACTTGTGTATATGCTAATGCTATTAGATCCATCCTTCGTGAACTTCCCAGCCCCGCGGATTGTTTCACTATCTTGGTAGGTGATTGGAACTTTGCGCTCTCCTCTGATGGGAGACTTCGAGCGGACGGTAGTGGGTGGTATCCTGGAGACGATAATCAGACCTCTCTATTGCATCGCCTTTGTAGCTCTTGGATTGAGTTTTACCAATGTGAAGACACGAGGAGGGAGGTCAGGGACGGCGTCACGACCCACTCTTCTCGGCTAGACCGTATGTACAGTACGCTTCCCTCGGCTCTGATCACGGACCTCACGATTGTTTGCGAGGCGAGGGGGGCCCTGAAGGTGGATATGGTCTCGGACCACATCCCGATTGTCGTCACGATCAGCACCTTCAGACCTCAGGATGCTCCCAAACGTCTGGCTCCCTGGGTTGTTCGGCACCCTTTATTTGCAGAGCTTTTGAACGGCGCTATTGATGCCCTTCCCTGTGGTGACCCGTGGGCTCGTCTGGCCGAAACGAAATCTTTGGTGTTTGAAGTTGCTGAGGAGGTTAAACGTCTGGTCAACCTGAAACCTGCTGACACTACCGAAGCCAAACATTTTCGTGCCCTGCAAGCCCTTCGTGCATGGCGTGCGGGAGACTCTTTCAAGCTAGCGGCGGCGGTTGCCGCGTACCCTTCGCTCGCTGCTCACTTTCCTGCTGGCCTTCTGGATGCCAGATGTGACGCCCTCTGCCAACACGTTCAAAGTCTTCATAATACTCTTCTGTCTGCTGAGGAGGAGCTGCTCAATCAGCCCTTGGCCGAGGACGTCGGACCCGTGCCCTCTGAGGGGGATGAAAATGCTCGGCGGAAGTTGGCGGCTCGGAAGGAACTCTGGCGGAAGATGAATAGGCGTACGTGGCTCCAAGGGACCTTGTCGGCTTCAGGGGGCATCAGCAAGACAGAAGAAGAGGCTGCCAAGGCCCTACAGGATCACTGGAGTACTATACTTGCTGCTACTGAGGACGACGAGTCCCTCTGGCCCGAGCTGCTTAGCTTTGTGCCGAAGTTGCCAGAGGTTCCTGAGGATATTGAGGAAGAGGACTTATTCGGACAAGGGTGGATGATGAGTGAGTTTGAGTGGCACATGTTGATTCGGGGGAGGAAAGACAGCATGCCTGGGGGGGATGGGATCCCGTACTCGGCCTGGAGGGCTCGCGCCGCTGGTGAACTTCTCTATGAATGCTACCAAGCCTTCATACGTAACCCTCGGGCTGGTCTTCCCGATGATATGAAACGAAGTCTCATGGTTTACTTACCTAAAAAGATTACGGAGGCGGAGGTGGGGGAGGGAGTCTATCGCGAACCAGCTAATACTCGTCCACTAAGCATGACAAATACGGATGCCAAGATTTTCTCGGCCTCGATGGCTATGATCCTCACGCGCAAGGTCGCGCGGCACTGTATTCTCCAGCCTCCACAGAAATGTTTTCGAGGCCGCGACATGCTCGCGAATGTGATGGGGGCTGAGAGTTTTCTTCTTGAGTGCCACCTTCGAGATAGATATACGAGTGGGCTCGTCCTGACGGACTTCGAATCCGCCTTCCCCTCGATCAAGGTCTCCTGGGTCCTCCGCGTGCTGGCCTCCATGGGGGTCCCGACTGCTGTCATATTGTTCTTCCAGGCTCTTTATCAGGATAATTCGGCGATTATCTATATCTTTGGGAGGATGTTTGGTTCCTTCGCGATTGGGAGAGGAGTTAGGCAAGGCGACCCGAGCTCGATGCTTCTATTTATCCTGGCTGTTGAACCTGTACTAGCATGGGTGAGGGCTAAGCTTCCAAGGCAGCTGACTTTGTCCCTCGCGTACGCCGACGATTTTTTGTTTCGGCTTACGCTGTATCTTCGATGGCATCGAGCCGTTGTTCAAGTGTTTGCAGCTGCTTCATCGTGCGATAGGTCTGGCTCTCAATTTCCCGAAGTGCCAGATTCTGCTGGCTTACGAGCGTCTCAGGGACCCTCTTCGTGATTTCCTGGTTGACCTGGGACCCTGCTATCAGATGGTTGAAATTACTAAGTGTCTTAAGTACCTTGGGGTCTGGATTGGTATTGGGGCGGAGGACGTCGCGTTCACGGCATCTATTATTAAACTCAAAAAACGGACGCGTGAGATTCGTGATCTAGGGCTTGGTCTGGCTCAATCCATTGTTCTATTCAAAGCGTTCTGTGTTTCATTATTGTCTTTCCTTTTGCAGCTGCACCGTCCCACTCGTGTTCTTGATAAAGCTTATCAATCCTGTGTCCGCCTCCTCTCCGCCGGCCCTAACAATGCGCTGTCGTACGACATGTGTACCCACCTCTGTGGTTATGGGTTCCCTATCGAGTTCCCTCGGCTCTCGCTTGTGGCAGATGCTACTCGGGCGAGATACATTGCACGTTGTGATGAGCTGCCTCGGATTCGTGACCAAGTCGCTCGGATTTTTGAAGATGGTGACTGGTGTCCATATCGGCAGCTGCGCGGCTGGTACGCGAATAGTTTCCTCACCCACCTGTTCTCTTTCCAGGACGAAGTTGCATCCCACGGCTTCCAGATTTTGTATGAGCGTAAAGATGTACAGAGGCAATATATGCGTGCGCTGAGGCCCTTCCACTGTCCCACTGTCACCCCTCATGGTGCTCTCCTTCGTCGTGCCCGTGCCTGGATCCCTGAGGTCTCCCCATCGGACATCGTCAGGATTTGCAAAGTCATCAAAGCCCTGGCCCGTCGGTCCAGTCCTTACATCCCGTTGGCCAACCTTCGTATGCTCTCCAGATGTGTTTGCACTAGTGCTCGTTTTCACGCCTCCCCTCGAGGCTGCATCCTTGGGTGCCCTAGTTCACCGACATCCCCGACCGACTTAGATGACATGCGCCACTACCTTGTGTGCCCCAGACTCCAGCAGTTGTTTGCACATTGGATGGGCCCTTGGGCTCCCTGTTCTTCTGGGTCTCCTGAGGGTTCGCCCTGGCTCCACCTCTACCTCCTTTTTCGTGGGATGGGTCCTGACCAGTGTCTTTTAAGTTCTATGTTATGTGATGCTTTTCTTAGTATGCACTCTTCAGTCCGTTATTGTCTTCCGGGATCCCCGCAGCAGCAATTTGAAGCCAGGCTTCGAATTCATTCGAGGAGGCACCGAGCCTGTCGTCGTGTGTGGCAGGTGCTCAATCTAGAACAATGGGGGGGATAGTTGCCTCCCCTATCTTTCCTGTGGCCTGGGCGCACTCTGCGACTGGGCTCTGACAGTTGGCGGGGGGGGGGGCTCCGCGTGGGGGAACGCGGCTGTCTCGTGCCCTGCCTGTCTCTGGCAGGCAGACGCTCCTCTCGGACAGTGGGCCCCCCTTCCTCGCCACGGTGTGTTTTGGACTGCTCGACCAAGGAGTTGACCGCCTTCAACTGGGACCTCCTGGAGGCCCCTGAGCCCTCTGGGTTTTTTTTTTTTTTTTTTTTTTTTTTTTTTTTTTTTTTTTTTTTTTTTTTTTTTTTTTTTTTTTTTTAAAAAAAAAAAAAAAAAAAAAAAAAAAAAAAAAAAAAAAAAAAAAAAAAAAAAAAATCGACACCGTGGAACCCTACTTCCGCGAGGCACTCAGGGACAGTGTATTTCCGTTCGGTCCAATGAGGTTTGAAAGTACAGTTTTGCAAACACATATGTATTTTTAAACATGTACATCTATGTACGGATGTTATACGTGTGTATGCGCATGCACACATGTCTGAATATTCGCACGCTGTCAGACACGCATGCATATCCGTTACCGTGCCGTGAGCAGTGGGCGGAGCGTCCTCAGGCTCACCAGAGCCCTCAGTGACTAGTAGTGGAAAGTGTTAGTCGGAGGTTGACAGACCTCCTACCCTGACACGTTGATTAAGGAATTGGCCGTTTTCGGTTCGCGAGAGGTCGTCGCGGCCGTCATTTTTGCGGGTCTAGGTCCGTCGGTTCCGGTCCCAGGCCGTTTTCATTAAGGGGAGGTTTACTAAAGGGAGGTTTGTCCACCGCCGAGTTAGAGACGTTTAGGGGGACCAGTTCCCCACCTCGTGCAATTTCTGGGCGCTACCAGGCGCTCGTTGGACAATCCCGGGACTCCGCCCCCAGAGTTTTCCAGAGGCCTCGGGGGCGTTGCTGGGGGGTTCAACTTCCAACATGTCTTCAGATGGTCCCAAAGTTCCACGCTGGAGCATATTTGATGGCCTCTTTGAATATTTTTAGAAGCCCTGGGGGCCCGCCCAAGACGCCACGAGCATTGAGCATTCGTATTGCATGTGCACGCGTAGGATTTATTGGCACATCCTGCCACTGTGTCCAGGATGTAAGTCAGATGCCTCTGGAACGCTTGTGGTGGTGATCCTTTGAGAAGCCTCTCGGAAGCCTCTGGTTTCGATTAGGGGAGTGCCTTTGGGGCCTCTGGGGGGTCTCGTGGGGGCCTCTTGGGGCGAAGGACTCGAAGTGTCGGGTCTCTTGGGCCTTTCTTTGGGCATTGGTGGGCCGTCTTCGGGGGGCGCTCCTGGAGGCCTCTCGGGGCAATCTCGGGGGCCTCAAGGGCCGTCTAGGAGCGTCGAAAGCGTGAAATGGCGAGAGCACTAACATCACCCGACACCTACAGAAAATCATTAATTTTGGTATCTCGGGGCCCTCTTCGAGCCCTCTTGGGGCGTCTTGAGGGGTTCTTGAGCCGCCTGCCGGCCATCTTGGGCGTATTGGAGCGACTTTTGGGTGATTCGGGGTCTTGGTGGCCTCTTGGAGCCCTCTTGGCCCGTCTTGGCGCCTTCTTGCCTCTGCAACAGTCGCTCGACCTAGGAGTGTCCAAGAGCGAATGGGAGATCCGTGAATTTGGATTGTTGGCCTCGTGTTGAAACATGATGCACACAGCACAGAAAACTCGAAGGGACTTGGAGATACGCCAACTCGTGCCTCAGGGTACGGTGGCGCATGCTATGCGGACTTGACGGAGTTTCGCGATCACGGCTTTTCGTTTAGAATGTTAAGAGCGTCCAGAACGATGGGGACTTGGAGGATGACAAGGACGACCGCGAGGACGGGGAAGAGTAGGAAAAGGGAGCGAGCAGGGGGACGGATAATAGGAGGACACGATGACCAGGACAAGGAGGTGGAGGAGGAGGAACATTACGGTCACGACAGGCAGGAGGACGAGGAGGAGGAGGAAGAAGGAGGTGTTGAGGATGAAGAGGGGGATGGTGGAGAAATCAGACATCATTGTACCCACGTCATCCTCTTCATGCGCTCTCCTCCTCGTCTTTCCGCGCTCTCCTCCTCTGCCCCATCTTCGTGCTCTCATGGGACGTGCCTCGTGTTTGTTGTTGCGCCCTGTTCGGGCATGGTTAGCAAGAACTCACCGAGCGCGTTCCAGTACTCGCAAAGTGCCTACTCGCAAACGTCCCAAACATAATCGCTGTTCGATGCATTGGTTTTGTTTGCTCCGGTGCAATTGATCCAGGCCGTTTGCGAGTAGCTACTTTGCGAATAGTGGAACTCCCTCGTCTAAGAACTCAGCCCCTGATCGGCAGGTCATGTGGTACGAGGCCCTCTGTCTGTTCCTCGTCTACGTGGTGCTCCGCCTCGCTAGCTTACGCCAGGAGGGAGGGAGGAAGAGGAGGGTATTGAAGTTGAGGAGGAGGTGCCGTGAAGCAGTGATGAGTGAGAAGAAGATTTCGAGAATACTGAGATGAGAAAGGGGGAGGAGGAGGAGGAGGAGGAGGAGGACCAGTGTAAAAATAAGAGTCATCAACGATGTTGGAATGAACCCTTCCCCTGAGCTCCCTCTTCATTGGCCCCACAACGGTTCATTTCCACTGAGGGAACTGAATCGTTGGAAGACAACCGTTTGAAGACCCTGAAGCATACAACAAATGTTCTCGGGATTTCAACGCCACGTATCAATTTGATTGTTGCGTCTCGACGGCCCAGAATGGTGTCAAAGTGCCCTTTCAGGGACTTCAACACCGCGAACCAACATAATTGTTGCACCCGCATCATCATGAATCCTTCCTGAGCGCAATTTCTCGTACGCTGATCATGGGAATCCGTGAACCTCTTGCAAAGTTTTACAACGAATGTGCGCGGCGCTAAGGCGAGAGCCACAGTTTGAAAAGGAACCGCCCTCAACCCGTGAAACTCTTGCAATGTTTTAACACGAATGTGCGGGGCGCTAAGGCGAGAGCCGCATTTTGAAAACCACCCGCCCTCGATACGTGAAACTCTTGCAAATGTTGTTAAACGAATGTGCGGCGCTGAGGCGAGAGCCACAGTTTGAAAAGCACCCGCTCTCAACCCGTGAGACTTTTTCAAATGTTTGAAGCGAGTGTGCGCGGCGCTAAGGCGAGAGCCACAGTTTGATAACCGCCCGCCCACCACCTGTGAAACTGACTTTTTAAGCCAGAGTCTGAAATGGTGAGGAAGTCCCAGGCGAAACGCCCGACCCGCCCTAAAATCTTGCCCCGGGGTGCGACAGGGAGAAGTTATCTCTAAGGAGAAAGAATGGAGAAGAAGGAGGAGGAGTTGGAGGAGGAGCGAGCGGGGGCGGGAGGATAATCATGCGAGGGAGGAAGGGTGAGTAGGACGAGGAGAAGGAGCGAAGCCGCGCAGACAGACACATTTTTGTGTTTCCGGGCATCCCGTGGCCCTGAGGGGAAAACTTCAGTTATGATGATACCCGATGTGGCGTGGGAGCGATTGCGGCCCAGCAGATGGGACGAATGGCCAGCCGCTATGGTAGAAGAGGAGGGATGAGTTGGAAGGCAGAGCGGGTTGGATAGATGGGGCGACGACGACGACGACATTTGTCGAGAGACGACAGGGAGAGGGGCAGGAGGAGGAGGAGATGACGACGAGTAGGATGACAATGGTGATGAGTGGGAGAAGGAGTGGAGAACAAGGATGTAGGTGTTGCGATGTTGCGAGGAGTGGGTGATCGTTGCCTCATGTGGCCCGATGGTGGTTAGGGTGGACTCATTCTCTTGCTCGTGCCCCCCCCCCACACTTCCTCCTCCACCCACCCTCGGCCCTCCCCACCCTCCTGCTTCTCCCGCCTTCTCCATAGCCCCACTGTGTTGCAGATTCCGCCCCATGCAGGTTTCTTTTCTGGCTCGACAGGCGCACAGTACGCCTGCGGCGGCGTCGTCGACTGAGGGGTGGTCGGCGGCGAGGTCGAGCCTGGTCGCATTCGGCGGCAGGTTCCAGAGATCGAGACTTCATCCAAGCTGAGAGGTGGTCCTCCGTCTGGTCCTCTCTCACCTCCCCACCCTCCACCCCCCCATGTTGCTTGTTTGCACGGCCCCACCTCCGTTTCAGAATCATACACATTTGACTCTATCGCATGGCCTTCTTGCACACAGGATGTCAGCCATTGATACTGTTTACGGTTGTTTTCAACGTGTCGGAACGATGTTCCCGTTGCAACGTGAGCCTCATGTTCGGATCGGCGCGTTGTCCTCGTCGCTCAGAAAGGCACTCTTGTCGCTCCCCCTCCTCCGCCGTTCCCTGGTCCTCTTGCTTCTCCTAGTCCTTCCACTCCAGCTCCTGCTGCTGCTGTTTGTCCCCGCCCCCCTTCTTCATCCTCCTGCTCCTGCAGTGCGCGCTGCTCCTTTTCTCCGACTGCACATACCACGAAGACATCATAGTTGAAGCTCCAGGTCCGTTGTGACACGTGTCCGCGGATAGAGACAGAACCACGCAATGGGAAGGAAAGTGGGTGGGAAGGATGGGATATCAGATATGGCGCGAGCGCGCTTGGGCTGCTCCCCCGCTCCTCCTCCCCCCCCGCATCATCTCCTCTCGCCGCCGCAACCTCCCCCTCCTCCTCCCCCTCCTCGTCCTCCTCCTTCTCCTCCTCCTCTTTTTTTTTTGTTGACCGGACATGACGAACAGATCTTGTTGCGTACTCCTCCTCCTCCTCTTCCTATTCCTCCTCCTCCTACTCCCCCTACTTTCATTGAGCCCGCAGAGCGGGAGTCACGGCGTGCCCACAGGGGGTAGTTTGCATTCAGGTGTTGCATTAATTTTGGTATTCGGGATATTGTTCCAACGAGGGTCGGTACCAATCGTTGCAATGTGTCTTGGGGCCATGTTGGCGTCCGGGGGGGGGGTCGGACGGCATCTTGGGTGTCACAGGTGAGTATGAGACAGAACATGCGTGAGGGATGTGCAGAATGGACGCTGTTGTGGCCCTGCGAGGGCAACTCACTTGTATGTTTACGCGTCCCAGGGCAGTGCCCGACAAGAAATGCGTGAGGGGTGCGCCGAAATCAGTATGCCGTGGCCCTCGGGGCGCAGATCATACGTATTCTTAGGTGCCCCAGGAGTTGTGATGCAGCATTGCTTTGCGGAATGTGCGAAGACCCTCTTAGAATGCCTTACACATGCCATCTCATCCTCATCAATATCATCATTATCTCATCGTCTTCTCTCGAAGGTCAACACGCCGAGGGCCCGCAGGGGGCCCGCTAAATTGTATCGTGTTGTTCATTCAGCCGGCCCATGTACCATCACTGTGTGTATGCGTGTGGTGGCTGGCGGGAAATCTCGGTGAGGCAGCGGTTTCCCAAAGTAGTCATGTGACGATGTTATTGTGCGTGGGTTGCCAAATCATCTTGGGGGATTCCGGTGGTGTTCGTCGACCATCGAGAGGGAGGTGTCTCGGAGGGCTGTTCCACTGCGTAGGATTATCCCGTCCTGCGTCGGGCGTCGGGTTTGAAGGGTGTCGGGTGAACGATCTGGAGGGTGTGAGTGCAGCAGATCGCTCACGCGTATCATGCCCTCGTTGAGGCTTGGAACATTCGTTGGAGGACTGTTCTGCAGCATCGTTGGCACTTGCTTGCGGTCGCGGGAACACTTCTTCCTGTGGCCTTTCGGTACCTCTCGGGGTCTCTTGTGGGGGTCTGAGAGGTCTCTGGGACCTCTTGGGGAGCTTTTCCGAAGATTCTCCTGAGGGCGTATGGAGGCTCTGTTGGAGGATTGTCTGGTAGCATCGCTGGCACTTGCCTGCGTTCGCGGGGGCGCTTTGGAGGCCTTCTCGGGCCTCTTGGGGTGCCTGGAGGGTGCCCGAGGGGCCTCTGGGGGCCTCTTGGAGGTCTCTTGGGGCCCTCTTTCGGGCGTTCTGGCAGGCCATGTGTTGGGAAGGGTTTGACATTTCAGTTCGGGTTTTCACTCTTCGGACCATCTTGGGGTTTTAGAGGCTTCTTGGGAGGTCTCCTGGGCCGTCTTGTGACCCTCTTGGGCCGTCTCGTGGCCGTCATGTGGGCCTCTTGGTTTGAATTGTGGCAATATTTGGGGCTGAAGGCCGTCTTCGGCGACCGGAGGACTGAAGATGCGGTAACGCCAAAATCTTCTGAACACCTAAGCGAAATCCATAATGATGTTTGGCTTCTTGCGGGCCTCCATGGATCTGTGTTTAGACATTTTGAAGCTATCCTGAAACCCACCCGCAACCCACGCGCGACCCACCCGCGACTCTCCCGCGAACCATCCGCGACCCACCCGCAATTCACCCGCGACCGTCCCCGCGACCCACCCGCGACTCCCCCACGATCCACCCGCCACCCACCCCGCGCTTGCCCCCCTTACTCTTGTCCGCAACTGCGGGGTGCCACACGTGCAGTACACTTCACGTTTGAACAGCGTATGTGTTTAGTATTGCAACTCTGACGCTCTTATGCGAAAATTTACAGATCCCGCATGAAAGCTGTAACATTCTCATACCAATGCCCTAGAGCTCCAGTGTTGAACCTGGACGCCTCTCGCTTGAAAAAAACAATTTCCATCATTGTTGGCACATATGTTTCTTCCCAGGAAGAAAGCTTGGATATGAGAGCTTCATTCGCTCTGGAATTCTGAAGGCTGAACAACCAGAGTACCAGTGTATGGCTTGAAATGGCGGGTTGTAGCTGGTACCAGTCGGCCTTCCAGCTGGTTGAGGTGCCAGTCGGTCGGGGTTGGTGCCAGTGGGTTGCGATTTGTCCGTTATGTAAGCCGCCACGTGCCCGACTCAGAGCAGCCGGAACTTGTGACCGCAGAGTTGATCCCGCTTCTGGCCCGCTGGGCTGGCGAGCGTTTCCCGTCTCTCTCCGACCCTGCTCCAGGGCACTTCCTCCTCGGGAGCTAGTGGGGAAATCAAAAAGTACCGATACCGTTGCTGCCCGTATTCTCCCGGGGTGCGTGCTGACCAGGATTTCAAAGCGAATCCGGCGTTGGCGACGAGGGTGTCCCAGGAGGCCAAGAGTTGGGCTCGCGAGTGCAGGGTAGCGGCATGGGTGCCTTTTCCTCCGAGCTCCTCCGCCCTGCTCCACGGCGCCTCCTCCTCATCTCGAGCACCTTGACGCAACTTGACGCCACAGTCAAGCCAGCCACAGCAGGGGGAGCTGTGGTCCTTACCCCCTGGGGGACCCATCGATTTCGACACCCCTCTCGAGAGATCGTCGATGCGATGGGTTCCCCCCGGGGGGGCAGGAACCCGAGCTCCCCCTTGTTATAGCTGGTCGGACAGTTCCAGCCTGCAGCGCGCCCATCCCGGGGGGGCGCCCAGCGCCTCCCCCGCGACTCCCCTCGGGCCAGGAGCCGCCTCGCCGACGAGGCGAGAGGAGGAGGAGGAGGCGGAGGAGGAGGAGGAGGAGGAGGAGGAGGAGAAAGGAGAAGGAGGAGGAGGAGGAGGAGGAGGAGGAGGAGGAGGAGGAGGATGGAGGAGCAGGAGGAGGAAGAAGGACGATGAAGGAGAAGGAGGAGGAGGAAGGAGGAAGGAGGAGAAGGAGGAGGAGGATGAGGAGAAAGGAGAAGGAGGAGGAGGAACGAGGAGGAGGAGGAGGAGGAGGAGGAGGATGAGCAGGAGGAGGATGGAGGAGCAGGAGGAGGAGGAGGAGGACGCCGAAGGAGGAAGGAGGAGGAGGAAGGAGGATGCAGGAGGAATGAGGAGGAAGGAGGAAGGAGGAAGAAGGAGGAGGAAGGAGGGAGGAGGAAGGAGGTGGAAGGAGGAAGGAGGAGGAAGGAGGAGGAAGGAGGACGAAGGAGGAGGAAGAGGAGCGCCAACCAAGGGAGGACAGGGGCGAGCGCGCCGGCTCCTCGGCCGCACGGGGTGCGGCACCAGCCCGCCGAAGGTGGGGGTGGCCCTATTCGGGGGAGCGTAAGACCCGGGTTTGCCGGGACTTGGGTTCGCCACCGTTTTTTGACGACCGCGCCTCGGATTTTGACGAGGAGGAGTTTCGTGGGATGTCTGCAGCGGGAGGCCTCGTCAAAATGCAGGCTCGGCCTCGTGATTTTTTTGACGATCTCGTCGGGGATTTCCGAGTCCCCTGTACCCAGGTCTTACGTCCCCCTGATATGTTCAGGTTGGGCCCGTCCCTCTGCAGGAGGGATATTCAAGAATAGTAAAAAAATAGTCTGGGGACTAGTCTTGGAGTACTTCGTTAAAGGCTTAACGACTTCTGCCGTCTTTCGACTCGCGCTGGAGCGGCCGCGAGTTGCTTCACCTTTCCTCGGAGATCTTTGGATTTACCCGGATTTGTTTCGATTTGCCTGGACTTATCTGGATTTACCTCGATTTATTTGCATTTACCTGGATTTTTCTGGCTCGCTCCCCTCAAGTCGATCGGCGAAAAGTCGACAAGCCCTTAGGGAGTACTTGTTGACCATGTTGAAATATATTTTGCATATGCTTCATGTTTCGCCCCAAGTCCCCCTGTATGGGGGACACGCCCGACTTGACCCCATGTCTCATCCTCGCTGCCCGTTTTCCCCTTCTCCCGCCGCGGATGCGATTTTGGGTATGACCAATGTTCTATGCGATGGCATTATGAACAGCATTCGTAGTATTATTCCTATTATCATCATTATTATTATTGTTTTTATTATTATTATTATTATTGTTCGTTTCGGCTTGTTCGACCTTGGTGGAGTCCCATTCCCATCAGTTGGGAAGTTTGCATCTTGCATGACCGAGGATCGTCTCCCCCATCCATCTCCCCCTCCTGCCCACCCCAAGGCGTACGTCACGTTCATGGCGTTCAACATGCGCATCGAGGCCGCGTCCCGCCCCGCCGCCGCCCCCCACCGTCCGGGTCTTCTCCCTCGCACTCCCCGTTCCCCCCCCTCGGAGCCTCCGCCCGCGTGCTCCTCCTGCTGCTCCTCTGTCTCGTCGACCCCCCTATGCCTCTTTCTTCATCGCGTCGTTATCCTCTTGCGCCTCCCCCCCTCGTCCCCTTCGGTTCCCTCCCCGACCTCCTCCTCCCTATCAGTTTCACCCTCCTTCGTGCCGCCCTCAACCTCCCCCAATACTCCTCCTCGTCCTCTTCCCCCTCCTCCCTATTCAGCTCTTCCTCATCCTCTGGATCCCCGTCCCGCAAGCCTTCCGTCTCCGTCCCCTCCGTGCTCCCTTTTCTTTCAAAGACATGCCTGCTCTCCCTCCTCATTTTTTTTGACGCCTCTGCCTCCCCGACTTTAAACGGAGAAGGTTAAAGGCGATATGTATATCGAGCATGCACCGCTGCCGTGCCTGGCTCAAGCCGGGCCCGGCCTAATATGTGATTGTGCCTCATTGAGGCGCACGACTTGTATCTGAGATCGGAAAATACCTTTTCCATTGACGATGCCCCTTCTATCCTTTACTCCAGATCCCATGCTTCGTCTTGCTCTCTTGCTCATGCGATATGAGCCAAAGCCTGGGATATGGGAGCGCCTAAGGCGGAACATATATCATGGCTTACCAGTGCGTTTTCGACTTGGTAGCGGAGCTGGCTACACTCTCGTGTGGCTGGCTCTCGCTCTGATTCCTGTAATCCACGGCACAACTTGGTGGACTACTATTACGGTGGAATACCATGTTGCGCCGGCTCTGCGAGGAGCGGAGCCAGTCCGCGATCGAGCTAGCGGGGCGACCCGCGAGCTCGAGACGCTCTCTCCTACTTCACTGCGCTACTTCACTCCCGACTTCCACCAGATGCCAATCGGCAACTCGATCGAGAACGTGGTCACCCTGCGGGGCTACCCGCAGCGGGGCCACCTGCATCCCGTGCCGGTCAGGCGCCTTACGGCTACTACGCCAGAGCCTGACAAACCACAGCCTAAACCAATCACCGAAGCCGAGATGCACATGCACTGGATTAAGATAACTATCTTCGGCATTCTATGGGTGATAATGGGATGTGCTGTGGGATACATGCGGCAGGGGATGGACGACACGCGTACTACCGGCCCTTCGTGGGACCCAGCCGGTACTACGCCTTTTCGCGAATACGTTCGCGAAGTACATGCATGGATAAACGTAACGAGCGGCAATATGACGCCACCTCAGCAAGCTGCAGCACTACAACGTGGCCTTCAAGGCCTTGCTCGTCGTATCGCCATGCAGGTCCCCTCCCAGATCATCAACTATGGTGTAACTGTCAACGGACAGCCAACGGATGCAGTTACTTATATACTGTACCTATTGAGCACCAAATTTGAAAATCTGGAAGATGAGCGCCAGCTCAACTCTGGCACTGCCCTTATCGACTTTCGCGTCGAAAGGGGCGAGCGAATCGACTCAGTGTTAGCTCGATTCGAGATGGCCCGTGACGCTGCTAACTCTGTTGGCTTTGTCATCCCCAACTTTCAGATCCTAACGCTGATCCTTTTCAGAGCGTTAGGCGTTGGCGCGTCACGAGCCCAACACCTGCTGGAGCCCTTTAATCATCAGATGCCCAGAACACAAGCAGACTATGATAGGCTGCTGACCAGGATGAGGAACTACGGGCATGTTGCCGAGCGCTCTCCTGGCAACATTGCGGGTATCTTCACAGGGCACCACTCACATGCAGGTGTCTACGCCACGACTGCGGGGTCACCCGCTGGTCCTGGCGAGCCAAGTCCCTGGGCTGATCCAGCCGATATGCCCAACGAGGCCACTGCCTTCTTAGGGCAGACCGGCCAGGCATCGGCAGAGGCAGCTGAGGCGAACGCCTGGTCGAACTACACGCCAGGCGCCGCCTACACTGCAAGCCCGCCCTCGGGCACAACCCTCTGGGGCCAAGCGGAGTCATCCGCTCAAGGGTCTCAGCCACCCTCTCCGTTTGAATCTGGCACTGACACAGATACCTCATCTGACGATGAGCACAATGGCATAGTCTCTGCTGGTAATGACTATCCAGCTGATGGCACTCACCTTTCTGAACAACAAAGAGCGGAAACCGCTTTTATGGCTTATCGCAAATCCAAACGCCGTTGGAGGCGCTTCATGAAGAAATCAGTCAGAAAAGTGAGACGTGCAGTACGCCGACATGTCAAACGATATGGAAAGGGTCGTGGCAAAGGGGGTCGCAGACGTCGCATGCATGGTAGGGGTATTACTGCTTTCCTCACGTCCTTAACTGATATAGTTTTTGAAGAAGTTCTTATCGGAGGCAAAGGTCGGGGTCACAGGCGGACCTCTGGTAAGGGAAAAGGGCGGAGGGGCAACCCTAGGGACGCTTCTGGCAATACTATGAAGTGTCATACATGCGGTAGTACAGAGCATTTGCGCGATCAATGCCCGAAAGGGAAAGGAAAGGGATCCGTACATTTGGCTCAAAACTCTTTTATGGATGACATAGACTACATTGACTACGAGTTTTACGTCAATCCAGAAGCGGCTCCCGCCGCGGGCTCCTCCACGTACTACGCGACGGCCCGCTGCGCTGATGTGACCGTAGCCCTGGAAGAGTACGCGGTGACCCTCTTCGACGAGTTCCACGGCTGGGACGAAGTCGACGAGGTCGCGTTCAATGCCTGGTTCGGTCTTCCAGCGGGGCCACCCGCCGACGACGAGATCTCCGAAGCTGAGACCGTCCCGGCGACCGAGGAGGAGCTCGCCGCCGCGCTGGCACCGCAGGTGATTGGCATGCCGTTGCTGCTAGATCTTCCGCGAGCTGGCTCGGAAGCGGGAGACGCTGACGACGAAATGCGGGGCCATCCCGCTTATTCTGACTCTGAAGAGGCCGAAGAGGACCATAAGGACATGCTCCAAGAGCAGGTCGCAGAAGCGATCCAGCTCCTGAGTGCGCCAGCACATCAGCAGATAACCATGAACGACCTGCTGTCGCGCCCAGGGGCCGCAAGGCTGCGTCCATACCTGGATTCGGACATGTCGGCACCTCAGATGCTGACAGCACTCCAGGTCCTAGCGGGGTCACCCGCCGAAGTGGCGCCAGCCGCGGCAGCGGGGCCACCCGCTTGGTCTATGGACGTATGCATGCAGGGCTGCGACCAGATGAACCTCAACGACCTCACGATGGAGCAGCTAAACGACATCGGGTACTTCCGAAGCCCGCATCAGCACGTATTCATGGTCCAGGACAGCTCAGAGGACTCGGAGGACATGCGCCATGCCAAGAAGAACAGACGACCATCGCCTCCCCGAGACTCAGAGCATGAAGATGAAAGGCCCATGGAACGTGGCAGCGCGTCAGCGGGGCCAGCCCGCAGGAGGGGCCGTTCAGCTCCACGACGCCCTACACGTGATGCATCTGGCTACCCGCACAGCACGGGGCACTCCGTAGGTGTATCCGCTCAGTACGTGCCGGAGTGGTACATCAATTGGTACCCCGGCTACTCAATGGACGTGATCCGCCACTGGTATTCTAAGGAGTACTGCACCAAACGGGACGAATCTGGCATGATAATACGTACCAAGGGTGGCAACACTAAAACGCCAGAGGCTCGGGACAAAAGGGCTAAGAAACAGGAGATCATCAACGATCGCAAGACATACAGGGAACAAGTATGTCAATGCGAGCCCTTCAAAGGTCACATGCGCAGCTGTCCAATGGACCGCCCCTCCAGGAGTCCTCATCGCGGTGAGACCCCCTGGAATTGGTCTCATGGAGATGACGCTGGCAACGTCCATGATCCTAACAAGAAGGTCCCTGGAGGAGGAAAGCGCATTACTGAAGCCGATCGCGTCCCTATGACCGAGGAGGTTGCTAACACTGTCAGGGAAAATTGGGAACAGCTTCCCAATGACCATCGCCTCAAGGAACGGAACCGCCGATTCCATAAAGAGGCGGGGCCACCCGCAGAATCCAGCGGAGAAGCGGGGTCACCCGCAGACGCGGCGCCAGCTGCTGGGTCCGCGGACGAAGAGTGGATAGCTGTTGCATCTGCTGCCGGATCTGCCGCCGGCACTGACCAAACCGAACTGAATGAAGAATGGGCGGCGGAAGACGGCTCAGAGAATCCATTCCCTGATGGATGCGCCTGCTGGTACTACAGCTCCTCGGCGCAGAAGTGGTTTTGCACGAGGGTAATTCACCGCCACGAAAATGGCAAGTACAAGCTGGCCATAAAAGGTACTGCCGACATCGACCAGATGAGGCAGATCATCCATGATCATGGCCAGCCAGAAGGTCCTCCTAAAGACCCTCCTGGTCCACAACCAGGCAAGGGCAGCAGACCACCTCCAAGACCTGAAGCCGACTCCTTGTCTTCACCGTCTCCTGCAAAGAGGCATCCTTCCGAGAGCCCCGAAGGCGCACAGGGGCGTGCGAAGGCCAGAGGGATCGCCAAGAAGGACGACCCTGAGCAGGGAGAGCCTACCGGCCCGTCCGCGACGGAGAGGAGGAAGGCTTTTGCTGGACCATCAACCCCGATGCCACCGGCTGCCCACGGCGATGTCAAGGACGAAGTTCGCGACCAGCCTAAGGCAGCCTTCCGAGGTGACTGGACTCCGACTCTGCATCAGCCGCGCCATGCACCACGACCAGGTTCGGCACGAATGAAAGCACAGCCGAAGCCCGAGGCTGGGATGAGGTCGGCGCGGGCGGAGGCAGCCGCCAAAGCTAAGGAGGACAAGGGCTCTGCGGGGCCACCTGCTAAAGCGGCGCCAGCTGCAGCAGCGGGGCCACCCGCGCGTCGGCAACAAGCGTCGTCTGTTCTCACGAACATCCCTCTGGGAGCCATTGAATATTGGCAAGGCATTGAAGGCAATGGCCCGAGACGCACCATAAACCCACGAGTCACTCGAGATGATACAGATCGATACGAGGTCATTAATTGCCCGGATCGTCGTAACTTCGAGTGCCGTAACGATTG